AACGGCGAAGTCTTGGAGTTTGGCAACTGGCCGTTGAGACCCGTGCTCATGTTTTTGTAGGTTGATTTTGGAGTTTTTGTTTGGCTCTGCTCATTGTTAGCAGGGGGCTGCAAAATGACAAGTTTTGCTACTCCTGCCAGCGGTTGGAAAGCTCGTCCGATTTTAGATTTTAGGCTAAGGGTAGACTACACCCCAAATTGGCTAGATTCTCATGTATGTCCAAAACGAGGGGGCGGGATGAAACAAACAATCTGGGTCCTGACAGTCAAGGCTTCCAGAAGGCCCAGTTCCACACCATTCCCATGCTTTCCCCTGGGTACACCGAAGACACGGTATCCTCATGGCGACAACACCATTGGGTCCCAGAAAAGGGATGCAACTGGCGCGGTGCTTGGAAGTGGAGGGGACGGAGTTTCACATGCCTTTGGGTGGCTTGAAAAGGAAGCCACGGTGACGACCCATGTCTAGGGGCCTGCTATTTTGAAGAAAGCAGCCGTTGCCACTGGGCGAGGTTTGTTTAAAGCGTGGCGTTCTGCGCGCAGCCTCTTGCCATCCTCTTGCACCTTGGGGACCTCGGTGGCTGTGCCTGCTAAAAGAAACTTCAACTCACTATGACTATGACAGACTCTAAGCTTTTTAGGGGGCCACAACCCGCACGGCAGTTTTCTCACCAGCAGTTTGGATACCACCAAAGTGCTCCTTTAGTGAGTATCACGGTTTTGCGGTAGCATTTGTTTGCGGATTTGGCAGTTTGGGTGTTGCTCGTGCCGCCCCTCATTTGGCTGCGTGCTGAGGTATTTGCAAAGATGATAGCGACCTTATCCGCCCTGGGCGCATCACTATGAAGCCAACTCTTGAGCAGAATGCCCTCGTCAAGGCATGCGGCTTGCTTGCAGCTTAATCGGAGTCAACTTCGATCAAATCTGAAGGACTAAATCTGAGGATTCCACACACACCATTCCCAATACTAGGCATTGCCCACTTTTTCGGGCTTGCCACCCCTGAATGGTATGGTCCGCGTTCATTCGAGGCTGACATTCTTTCAAGAGTAATCTGGATCGTGTTTCTAGACAACGGTTTGGATGTGGCTACTGCGAGTCATCTGCGAATCCACCCCTGTAGGATGTTAAAGGAGCACTAGAAGATTATATAAACAACGAAAACACCAAGTGGGGGAAGGACACGTGAACTCCACGCAAAAAGCGCAAATCCACCCCGTTGTCTAGAGTCTTAGGCTCATGAGCCACCCCAAAGCATCCGGGGGTTTATTGGCGAGTCGGCCGAGGCAAGCCTGGCACACCTTTGCTGCTGGAGGACGGCATCATGGAAGTGAAGGTGGTCGAGAAGTGCTCAGAGACCGAGCTCAAGGTTGAGGTGGAAGCCGCCAGGGTTTCCCTAGATGTGGGTGGACCCGTTATCCATATTTTTGACGTCCCTTGGCGCCCATGTGAAACTGGGCTCCTGAAAAAATACACACCTAGTTCCCCGTTGGGGTGATTTCGTTTGTGAATGCGTTACTTCAGTTGTATTTTGGAGTTGGCACCTTTTGCTTGAGCAGGTTCGAGGTTGGGATGCGGGAAAGTTGGTTTTGATCATCACACCCTTTCAAAGAACCAAAGGGAGGTTGCTGAAACGAGCCTGGAATAAGGAACTACACCTTGGTGGGATGGCTTTCCAGAAGCCATCCCGCAGGGTTGCGGATTGCGAGTTGGTTGGTGCCACCTTTTGTTCATGCTGAAGACTTACGGAAAACGCAAGGAAACCAACAGCTTCGGAGACCTCAGACCTCCAATGGTGCCCTGCTGGTTTTCAAGGTTACCCTGTAAAGTCAACTGGATGTTTCTCTGTTTGTTGTGCTGTAGAATGGTATGATTCTTTTTGGTCCCTTTAAACACTAGCTACACCTCGGGGTTTTGCTTTCTGGGTTTGTTTATTTTGGTGGGAGTCTGCAACGTTGCAGGGGCTGGCCAAGAGCGCTACATGATGTGGCTGATAAGCCGACAGCACATTTTCTCATCCCCACCCCCTGAAAAAATAAAATCGGGGCGGGGGGTAGGGATTCTCCGAAAGGCCACCGAGCGCAGAGATGGGTCATTGTTTAAACCGCCAGCCCCGGGTCCCTGTTGACGGGGAACCCAACGAAGCAAGTTATGTTGACCGTGGCTCATGTGAAAACAGGGGGAAGGGTTCAACCTCGTGATCCCCTAAAATTGTTGGCTTTCTTTTCGTGCCCATTTGAATACCAAGCAAGGGATCGACCAGGGGTATGTGTTTGTTTGAGGGTACCCTTTGGTGATTTCAAGGGAAGCCAACAGTCAAAGGGTTGGGTTACAGGAAAGTCTACAAGAAAACAGCTTACTTAGGGCCTTTTGGGCCATTTCCCTGTGATTTCCCTGCAACCAAATCCTTTGAGCAAGAAAAGCCCGGAGAAAGAGGGTCCTTTTGGGGCTTTCCGCCAGAACCCGCCAAGCGGCGCGAGCGGCGAAGCGCGAGCGCCAGGTGGTCCGTGGCGGCAAGCTGAAGGCGAGGAAAGGCGTCAACGTGCCATGGCCGGAAGAAACCCAGTGCTTGTGTGTGTATGTGGGTGCGCGTGCGTGCGTGCGTGCGTGCGTGCGTGCGTGCGTGCGTGCGTGCGTGCGTGCGTGCGTGCGTGCGTGCGTGCGTGCGTGCGTGCGTGCGTGCGTGCGTGCGTGCGTGCGTGCGTGCGTGCGTGAGTGCGTGCGTGCGTGCGTGCGTGCGTGCGTGCGTGGGTGGGTGGGTGCGTGGTGTGCGTGGGCGTGCGTGGGCGTGCGTGGTGCGTGCGTGGTGTGCGTGGGTGCGTGCGGTGTGTGTGGTGGGTGGGTGGGTGGGTGGGTGGGTGGGTGGGTGGGTGTGGGTGGGTGGGTGTGGGTGGGTGGGTGGGTGGGTGTGTGTGTGTGTGTGTGTGTGTGTGTGTGTGTGTGTGTGTGTGTGTGTGTGTGTGTGTGTGTGTGTGTGTGTGTTTGTGTGTGTGTTTCTGTGTTTGTGTGTGTGTGTGTCTGTGGGTGTGGCTGTGCGTGTGCGTGTGCGTGCGCGTGCGCGTTTGCGTGTGTGTTTTTGAGGGTACTGTTTCACCCCGAAAAGGACTACCACCCCACTGTTGTAGTCTCCTTGTTTTGACGCATATCCCATATGTGCCATGGTCAAAAGCTTCTGACTGTTTCTTTGGCATAGGGATGGTCATCAACCTTTATACACTTGCAAGGGTTCACAAGGAAGCCGTGACTGTGGCCCGAGGAGTTTGACCAGAATACAGATGTATGTTGTGCTTGATTATCCACTAGTCCATGGTCAATTTTGGCAGGGACATTGGCAATACTAAATCAAGTACAGTACCTGGCAATACTAAATTTAGAAAAGCATTGGCAAGCCCAAGTCCGATCCTCCCCCAAGAGGGTCCAACAAAACGTAGGGAAACCACAAGGACATCCACCAGTGCACGTAAAAGGACCCCCCCCACCCCGCCCTTTGCCGGGGTCCCCGAATTTTGAGATCCGGATTCGGATCTAGGTGCCGGATGTGGAAATCGACTGCGCGGCTTTGACGTCCAAGGACATCGAGGCAGTGGGGTTTTCAATGGGTTTGCTGACGCCTAGATTTGGAGGGAGCTAAATTGGGACCCCTAAAAGGAGTTGGATTGATTCTATACTTCTATACACCCTTGTCAGATCACCGATTTTGTTTTCCCAAGGGGGAAGGCAAATTTCGCAGCGGACGAAGTCAGGCAGGTTGGTTTCATTAGGGCTAAGAAGCATCCCAGCGGGATTTTGTCCATCCACAGTGACATTCCTACAAAACTCACCACCTAAATTCAAAGGCAACATGAGGCTTTTCGGCCATGGTTTGCCCTGCGTTTAACATCAGCAGGGATCAATGGTCACTGCCCCCCCCGAAGGTCAGACAGCATGTTGAGTCAGCGGCAATTTCGGGTACTGTAGGCTATCAGCCTCTATTTGCAACGCAGGTCAAACCGTGGCCGTTTATCCACAACAAGCCTATTTACTTGGCTGAGCTCTCGCAGAGCTCAAACAAAATGGATGGTTGAAAGTGGCTGGCAGTAAGGCAGTATTTCCCTATAAACCCCTTGGGATTAGCTTCAGCTTCGAAAAGCAGGCGCACTCCATTTGTGGCTTGTCTCGAAAATACCCAAACTCATTGCCGGATAAAACTTGCCTTTCAAAGTTTTTGCCTTTTGGGAGGTTAACTTGTTTGTATGTTTCCCGAAAGCCAGCCTTGAAGAGGCTTTACTTGGGAGGTGGGGTGACAAGATTAAGGGTACCCTCACCCTTCCGTTCTTGGTGGCTTTCCCCCTTACAAAACGCTCTGGCCCCAAAACGGCTGGTCCATGGCGGGCTGTGAGGATGCGGAATTCCTGCTGCAGTTGGACCCCCCGATCGAGTACATTTGCGTATCCTTTGCGCAGAAGGGCCACTGAGCTTGGCATTCAGATCTGCGAAAGTCAGAGCGAGCTCTGCTTTTCCAACCCCAATCCGAGTTTCTAGATCTGTCGATCACGTTCATTTTTCTTCTTCCGCAGAAACGAATCGAATGGGCGCCCTGGCTACTTCCCCCTGTAAGGGCATAGAAACCACAAAATGGTCCAGCGGACATTGGCCAAATACCACTCCAAAAGCAATGCATAGTGTCCCGTGACTTGCATAGTTTCACCTTTCCTTACTTCTTTCTTTTGTTTTTGGTGTGTGTGTGTGTGTGTTTGTGTGTTTGTTTGTTTGTTTGTTTGTTTGTTTAATCTCGGGAAACCAACAGGAAAACCGAAGCCATTGCTGGGGTTCTCCAATTTAAAGGTGATGTTCCCAGACAAGCCTCACAACCTACCGGAGAATGCCAGGAACTTCACCGAACCGACAGAACTTCCCGGGGATGTCCGGTACAACCAACGTCGCTTGACTTTGGGCCTGGGGACCCAAGGTCAGGACCTCCAGGAGTTGATCGACATCATGGACCGGCTCAAGGTTCCGCAGGAGAAGCGCCCGAAGATCTGCCCCAAGATCGAGAAGCCCCAGGAGAGTCGCCCTCTTCTTTTTGTTTCCGTTCGAATCGAGCAAGGCGAAGTGATTTCTTTGAAAGAAGCCCAGAGCGAAATGGCGCACATAGTTTAGGGGTTCGTTTGACTGGCAATGAAAGGGACACCACCAATTTTGGAATTCCCCTGTTTGGAAGCAAACACGGATTTGTCTTTAAGTCTTTCAGAATCACAGAAGCTCCTTGCAAGCAAATCCCAGCTGATTTAGAGTAAAGCCGGGTGTTGTTGCATATATCTCAATGTATCCTGTAAGGAATCCTGCTATAAGGGGAACATGTTGATGATCAATCAAAGTGGCGTTTTGCACAGGATTTGTCTTGATGTGACTTCAACCCCAGCGTTTGACAGCAAACAAGCAAAGAGGCACTTGACCCAGCGAGCCCGAAAAAGGGACTGTGGCGCGTCATTCTGTGTGAGAGGCCTTCACCAACATCGAGGGCATCATCGCCAAGTCGCAGGCATCGGCAGTTCGGTCCACGTTTTGTCACATTTTACATTTTTGCCCTTGACTAAAGCGATGAGCAAAGACAATTCAGGAACCTTGTGAACCCCTGTTTGTTTCGTGGGTTTCCATTAAAATGATTCTGGCACCAGAAAGGGTTCCTGTTTTGCCGCTTTGCTCTCGACTAAAGTGATGGATGAACGAAGACAATATTTATATCAAGTTTAGGGTTGAAAGTTAGCCACGGCTTGCGTATGATTTGTTTGCCTTTGTTTAAAGCCCCCCAAACAAGAAAGCGCAACTCTAGGAAAAAGGAAAAAGGAAAAGACAGCTCAGCCCCCTTTTCAATGCAAGAAACAGCCGCCCAACTTCCTCCAAAAAAATGAAGGCGGAGCCACCAAGCCGCAGGCGCTGATGGTGGCCAGAGGAGACCTGGGGGTGGAGCTGGGGCTGAACCGCGTGCCCTTCGCCCAGAAGCTGCTGATCCAACGCGCCAAGCAGGCGGGGGACGGGCGCTTCGGGACACATTCAGTTTCACATCTTGGATGATACTGTGAATGGTGGCGCAATCCGTTCACCGCCTAAGAAACCCTGTAAATACTAACTATAGACAGTGGTTTCCCATAATGTCAAAGTGGTGCAGGATTTCGTCCATCCACAGCATGTGCTCATGTTTTCGCATGTGAGTGGGACATTGATATCATGTCCAACCACAAAGCCACAAGCGGTGGACATGAACCCCCACCGAATTGTGATGTCCACCAAGGGGTCCCGAATTGACATCCACAGGGGGTTCAGCCATTCAGAAGCCTTGGATGGGGCAACTATTGCTAGGGATTCAAATTTCTTCTGGTTCGTGAATCCGAATTTTCAATTAACCTCATTTCAATTTCGCAGAAAGAACCCCCCCAAATCCGATTCTTGGTTTCGCTTGAAGCTTGGCGGTTGGTCCCGAGTTTTGTGCCAGGCTGGTCTCTTCGTGATCACTGCCACGCAGATGGTCGAGCCTTGGCTGCCTTGGCCATGGCTTTCCTGACGCACAGTGGATGGGAGGGGAAGGGGGGGGTTGGGTTCTATGGACTGACTTCGGAGTCATCCGGAGGACTGGACCCCTCCAAATAGACAATGTTCTTAACTGTGGAACTAGCCCTGGATAGAACTCCAGGTAGGCCCGAGGTCAAGACGAGCCCGGAGAATGCGGCATCCCCCAGTGAAACCCCGTTCCTTTGCACTCAGCCCCTTTGGCTTGGATGGCGTTCGGCTTGCACGGGGGAAGCAGCGGGTGTGGCCTGTGGGGTTTGTAATGCTACATTACCCATGACAAAAATAGCACATGGAGGAAACCCAAAGAGCATGACAGTTTTCTTTTTCATTTGGCCTTGTTTGCGTTCGCCCTGAGATGTCCTGAAGAGCAAATTCGGAACCGAAGGAGGCTGAGATGGCCTGGGTTTTGGGAGGGTAGTGACACGCCGGTTCCATCTCCAAACTTCAACCGCTGAGTTTTTGGGCGGAACTCAGTGCAGGGCCCAGGCACGATTCGCAATTGACGGTGGCAAAGCAAAGTAGCCGGGAAGGACCCACCTTGTTTGCGAGAACCTGGTTCTTGAGCGTGTCCTGTTGAAAGGGGCCTATTGACACCGCCAAGGAGAGCATGATCGAGAACCCCGTGCCCACACGCGCAGAAGTTTCTGATGTGATGCTTCTGAGCTCAAGCAATCTGTCGCGAGAGAGAGGGCTCGCTGCTGTGATTCAAGCTTTCTGACGACCAGGCCTTATAAATTGATATACTGTCTGCCAACGGTCAAAAGCAATTGTTTGACTAGCAGTCCAGTCATCGGGCGCCAACCAACCCGTAGATCCTCCGAAGCCCAAAACTGACGACACGGCCATTCTTGGGCTAATTGTTTCGAGACAAGCCGCCAAAAGAGAAACCGGGGCACGTTTCGGGGGTTTTGCATTGTGTTGTTGTGCGGAATGGACATCCAGCCCCTGGCACCGTGTGACCGTTCGAAGCATGTGACAAGGAACGCCATTTGGGACGGCTCGGATGCTGTGATGCTCAGCGGGGAGGCGGCCAGTGGAAAGCACCTCGGAAGGGAACCCAGTCCAGTGACACGTCGTTTCCTTTTTCGGTAGATGCCCTTCCTCCTAACATGGCAGTGGGGAGGTTCCTTTATCACTTTTTCCTCTTCAAGGGACCCCTGTCAGGTGCCATGGTACGAGGGAGGGTGGCTCATAGTGATTGGTTCCCCCTTAAAGGACACCCAAAAGGCGTGGTTTTTCTTGACGTGCTTTTCCGGCATTTCTCCAGCCTGTTTGCCACCCTCTGCTTTGGTTTGGTGGATTTACCTGTCAAACCCAAGAATGGTTCCAATCATTTTGCTACCAATTTGAGGTGACTGCCGAGGGGCGGAGGTTGAAGGGTTCAAAGACTGTTTTTCGACAGATCGATGTGAATTTCCCAGACTGGGGCAGGGGAAATGGCAGCCGCATCTAACTCTGATATTCGGTGAGTCTCCTTACCTTTTTTGCTTGCATTTGTGGGAAACCCAGCCGTGGTGGGAGAAAAGAAAAGCCTGGGCCGCTTTCGGTGGGCTGAGCGAATCCAGGCAGTATGGGGATTGGCTGATCCACTTTATCACAGGTTGCAAGCATTTTCCGCCATCATGATATGTATAGTCATAATTGCCCAATGCGCTGATTGCACTCCGTGTGGTTTTGGCTCAAGAAAAGGGTGCGCTCCGCAGTGCACCCCAGAGCCGAGATATTGCATTTTGATGGTAGCGGGTGAGCCTCGACGGTCCATTTGGTTTGGAAAGCCGTACGAGGGGCCCAAGGGCAAGAACAAGGGCAAGAAGGGCAAGAGCAAGGGCAAGAAGGGCAGGGGCAAGAGCAACAAGGAGGAGCCGCCGTGGAGGCGGCCCGCTCGCGGCAAAGGCAAAGCCGCAGAGCCGGTCGAGGAGACCGGGGCAGCGGAAGAGCTGCCGAAGGAGAGGCCGGAGCTAGTTGCCCCTCCGAGTGAAGGAGAAGAAGACACCCTGTCCGCTGAGCCTGCCGCTGAGTCAGAAGCAGACTGGGGAGGATCCCAGGCTGCATCTCCTCCCTCCTCAGAGCCAGAGGCTCTGCCAAGTGGCCACAGGGGCCCAGAACCGGCTCGAGGAAGCCGGGCAGAGGAGAAGGAGGAGGAGCTGGAACAATACACCAACGAGGACAAGAAGGAGGACCTCCACCCGCCGCAGAAGAAGCAGTTTGAGCCCGAGGCCGCGGACTTCGACCTGGAGCAGAAGGACCAGAGCGAGGACGAGAGCGTGTGGGGCGATTGGGGCAGCGGGGGCAGGATCCAGCCTGAGCCCGAGCCCAAGGTCGCTCACACGCCTAGGTCGTCAGGATCTCGGTGGTGGCAGAGTGCGACTGGCAAAGACAAGAGGAGAAGCCAAAACAGTCGGCACTTTAGGATCCTCAAAGGCCTCCTGAAGCTCGCGCAGAAGAAGCAGGAAGAGCCATCCGCGGAGCTCCAGGAGGAGATCGAGAACTTCGGGCAGGCGCCCTGGAAGAGGCGCCGGGTGCAGCCCAAGACACCACCGAAGTCCCCGCCTAAGTCCAGCCCTGCTCCGAAGACACCGCCGAAGGGATTCACAAAGGCCCAAGGAAAGGAGCCTTCACCGGGCGCTGAGCCCGAGCTGCTGGCACCGGTCGCCGAGGCAGCCAAAGCTCTCGGCCGACGGGTTACGGTGCACAGGAACATACAAGAGCTTGCGGTGGCAAGGACATCCCGCGGTGAAGGGACGAGCGAGCAGAACCTGGCCTCGAACTACCGCCTCAGGAAGGCGGCATCGGCAGAAGCTGCATACCGAGCCGGAGCAACGGGCTCGGTGGCCAAAGCCATCCAGCAGAGTGTGCTGCAACTGGACGGGTTAGGGAACCCGTGTTCCTCGTGCGACGAGAGGACTCGCCTTCAGAGGCCATCGTTGTTGGCCAGGGCCGCAGCAATTGCAAAAGGGGCGGCAAGGAGGCGCGCACCGGTAGGAACGACCTCAAAGTCAGTACCGGAGGCTATCGCGAAGCCTCAGGTGAAGCCACCTCCTGCAAAAGCGGCTATAGAGGCGAAGGTACCACCTCCATCGCCAAGACCGAAGTGGGTGCTCAAGGAGAAGGCCCACATCGAGAAGCCCAAGAGCGAGCCGAAGGTTTCGCTGGCTCGGCCGAAGCGGCCGCCACCTCCGCCACCGATTCCGTCGCCGACTACACCCCTGAGCGAGACCGAGGGCAGTGTGCACCTTTACGATCAACCGGCGCCGGAGCCGGAGAGCGCTCCGAAAAGCGGATCGAGCTCGGGGTCGTACTATAGTACAGAAGAGTCCGGGAAGGCGGACTGACCTCCCGGTGCTTGGCACCGGATATAAGGCATGGAGGAAACAGTGCGAGAGTTGCAGCAGGCAGTTGAGCGGTTGTCACAGGAGAATCAACTTCTTAGGCAAGGCCAGGCAGGTATAGCTGCTTTGGCAGAGAACCTTGGTAGGTTAGCTACAAGCCTGCAGAGGGGAGATAGGAAGTTGTTGATAGACACCAAAGGGATTGGAAGACCGGAAGTCTTTTCCAATGATGACGGCCACTTCCGTAGATGGGCCCGGTCTGTGGTGAACCTCACAACGGCAATCTTTGGATCCAGTTTCCAGTCAATCCTTGAATGGGTAGTTGATCAGGATGAGGAGATCACTGTTGAAAAGGTAGAAGAGGAACATGGAGGCGAACTGGGAATGGCCGGACTGGATGATAAGGGAGACCAACTGTATAGGTTGTTGTCATCCCTTACTACTCATGAGTCCGAAGATCTGGTCATCAATGCCAAGAACGGGTATGAGGCATGGCGAAGGCTTAACAGGAGATGGGACCCCCTCACCGCAGGTAGGAAGAGGAACATCCTAAGGGCCATCCTCAACCCCGAAAGAGTTAAGTCTTGGGAAGCAGTTCGACCGGCCATGGAACAACTAGATGATTTGATGCGCCGATATGAGGCCAGAAGGAACGAAAGGGGCGAGAGGGAAATCCTCTCTCAGGACATAAAGTGTACGTCCCTAGAACTTCTGGTTCCAACCGACATTGAGCGCCACCTCATTCTGAACAAGAACCGGCTGGGAACCTACGAGGAAATGAAGCAGGAGATTGAGGTTCTGATTGAAACAGTCACGGGAGCAAAAGGGACGGTCCATCGACCGGGGTCCAGTGGGGCTTCGGGATCGGGGCGAGGCCCCGCCCCGATGGACGTGGACGCCTTCACGAAGGTGCTCAACTCGCTGGTCAAAGGCTCGAAAGGTCAGAAAGGAGGCAAAGGTAAGGGAAAGGACAGCGGTGGAGGCAAAGGCAAAGGCAAAGGAAAAGGTAAGGACAGCAAGGGAAAAGGCAAAGGCAGTGGTTCAGGCAGCTCAGGACCCGCAGGAGCATGCTTCAACTGTGGTAAGCCCGGCCATAGAGCGGCCGAGTGTTGGAGCAAGAAGAAGGATGGAAAAGGTTCCAAAGGCTCAGGGAAGTCTGGCTCCAAGCAGAAGCATGTGGCAGGATTCGAGGACGCCGACTACGAAGCTGGAGACCAAGAAGAACAACCGGAGGCCGAAGTGGGAATGTTTGAGCTGGGTGCATTCACCCAGGGAGAGCCCCCGAAAGACCCAAGCTGGGTTCGGTTCAACCTTGATACGGGGGCTGCTCAAACTGCTATTCCAGTGGATTGGAAAGACCGCATCCCCACTAAGGAAGGAGCCCAGATGATGTTCAAGACAGCATCGGGGGAACTGGTCCCTGGGACCGGAACCGGGACGTTTCAAGGTAAGAGTGAAACAGGTTCCAGGTGTAAAGTCACAGGGCCATTAGCACCGGTACACAAACCGTTGGTTTCAGCTTACAAATGCCTCAAACATGGAAGGATGGCTGTTCTTGATCAAGATGGTGGACAGTTGATTCCAGTAGACTCAGCGACAGGAAGGAAAATTCAGCAGTTGCTCAACAAGCCCAGTAAAGCCCAAAAGAATACTTGGTTGCCCATATACCAAGAGAAAGGAGTTTACAACTTCTATTTGAAGTCGGAAGATTGTTCGGGTTTTGGACGGCAGTCCAGCGAGGCGTAAGTCCGGCCAAACCACTTGCAGCGGCAGATGATGCCGTGGGTGCCGGACAAGGGAACCCAGAGGCACCAGCGGGCCGACCCGCAGGTGTGCCATGGATGAGAGCGGCGAGATCGCGCCGCCCGCACTGGTGAGAGCACCAGGAGGCCCATCGAGGGCCGAGGTTGCGGAGCATGAGGCAACAGGTCACGTGCAGTATCGCAACTGGTGTCGGCATTGTCTTGCCGGCAGAGGATTGGGTCAGCAGCATCGCTCACGACCCGAAGAGGACAAGGCGAGCGATGAGCTCGCGACAATCTCGTGCGACTACACATGGATGACGCGAGATGGAAAGGAGGATGGGAAGACTAAGCCTATCCTGGTGATCCGAGACAGTCGGACACTGGCCGTTGCGGCCACCTTCGTGGACGCAAAAGGACCGACGCCATATGCGGTCAAATTCATGGCGAACTTTATAAAGCATCTTGGTTACCGTCGTGCAGTCTTCAAGAGTGATGGTGAGCATTCGATCGTTGCCCTGAAGGAGCAGGCGGCCAAGGAAGCAGGAGTGGAGAATGTTCCACAGGAGTCGCCGGTGGCTGACCACCGGGCGAATGGCGCAATCGAGAACTTGTGCCGAGAACTCAAAAGGCAGGTGAGAGTCCTGCGATCCTCACTGGAGGAGAAGTTGGGTCGAGTCTTGAAGGATGACGACCCTGTGCTGTCTTGGTTTCCAAGGCATGCAGCAGACCTGATGTGCAGGTACAAGAGAGGTTCCGACGGGAAGACACCGGAACAAAGGAGGTGTGGCCGAGAATGGAGAAAGCCGGCAATCGCCATAGGAGAGCGGTTGTATTACCGTGAGGTAGGAGAAGGAGCTAGGCCACTCAAGGAAGGCAGGTACATAGGTCACCACGGAAGGACTGGCACTTTGCTGGTTGTGACCTCAGAAGGAGTGAAGAGAGGCACTGGTGTTCGTCGACTTCCAGAAGAAGATCAATGGAATCCACAAGGATGGGAAAGCCTTAAAGGCTACCCGTGGGAGGTCTCAGTGCGAGCGCCGGGAACGCCGGGGCAGAGGGCCCCGGGAACTCCTGCTCAAGGAGTGGAGGACCTGCTGGTCAGTGAAGACCGGGTTGAGGTTCCGCCTCAGGTTGTGCCTGTTATGGCACCGCCACAGCAGCGACGGATTTACATCCGTAAGGCAGATGTGGAGAAGTACCAACCTACCGATGGATGTCCTGGATGCACTTGCGTGCTACTAGGGGAATCCACTCAGTTGCCGCACACTGAGATGTGCCGAGCGAGAATCGTCGGTCTCATGATGGATGATGAGCAAGGACGACGCCGTGTCGAAGCTCACAAAAGGAAAAGAGAGGAGACCGCGGAAGTAGGAGTGGAAGCAGATCTCCCAGCCCAAGAGGCCATGGGAGAGCCGGCCGCTGAGGCCGGAGTAGGATCTAGGCAAGACCCTGGACAAGTGATGGAGTATGTGGAGGATCCCGCGAAGAGGGCTGAACTCAAGAGAGCAGCAGCAGACCCGCCAGCATCGAGTAGCCCAAAGAGCAAGGCGAAGCCGACCACGCAGATCAAGAGACCGGGAGCGCTGTATATAGCGCCCGGAGCCAAGCAGAAGACGCAGCAGAAGCAAGGTGAGAAGCGAGAGCCCGCAGTATCTCCTGAAGAACTCCGAACGGAGACTCAACCGGCGGCTGACGCCGAGACTTCAAACACCCCGGACAAGCCCCCAGACGTGGGTGGACTTGAACTGGGTCGATTGAAGAGGATGTTGAAGTCCATGGTTGGACGGAAAGTAGAGAGAGCGTTTTTGGCTCAGGAGGTGGAGATCAACGCGGTCGAGCTGGAGCAGATCACCAAGCTGTGCGTGGAGATGGGCGCTGTTGATATCATGGAGATCTACAGCCCGAAGCGGTTCACGGCCCAAGCCGGGCAGTATGGCTTGAGGCCGGGCTTTGCGGTAGACCTTGAGGAGCAGAAACCGGACGGTTCCTACTGGGATCTCAGCAAGACTGAGGACGTCCGAGAGCTCGAGGAGTATGTGGACGAGGTCGAGCCGACATTGCTCACAGGGAGCCCACCTTGTGACCAATTCTCCCAGCTCCAGAACATCAACAAGTACAGGGTGAGCCCAGACAAGAGGCGCGAGAAGATGGATAGAGCAGTTGCTCATTTGCATACCGCCTGTAGGTTCTACAGGAAGCAGTTGCAGGCAGGTAGGTTCTTCTTGCATGAGGCACCGTGGAGTGCTACCTCTTGGAAAGACCCGGAGGTCCGTGAGCTCACTGAGAGACCGGACGTGTACACTGTCCGAGGCCCAATGTGCAGATGGGCTATGGTCGCTACGGACCGGAGGGGTTTGCAGGGCACAGGATATGTGCGGAAAGAAACTGGCTGGATGACCAACCATCCAGGTTTGGCCCAACTGTTGGAGGGCGAATGCACCAACAATGTGCCGGGGAAACCATGGCACCGGCACATCCACCTGATCGGAGGACTCGCTAGACCGGCGGCCCGTTATCCGCCAGCGCTAGTGCGAGCGGTCCTGAAGACTTTGAAGAGCCACCTTGTAGAGAGTGGCCAGTTGAGTGCATTGGACGCAGCAGTTGCAGGTCCAATCCCAGAGGAGAGCTTCGTGACGCCGGAAGACGTGGAGCAGTACTGGGACGACGTGAATGGTGGGTTTTTGCCACCAGACCGAGTCAGGGAGGCACGTCAGCTCGAGTTGGACTATCTTAGGAAGCAAGAGGTTTACGAGAAGGTGCCGCTCGAGGAATGCCTCAGAGAGACCAACGGGAAGGGTCCAATCACCACCCGTTGGATAGACACCAACAAGGGAGACCCCGCCAATCCCAACTTCAGGTCGAGATTGGTGGTCCGGGAGATCAAGGCCCGGAAGAGTCCAGAGGAAAGGATTCCTCAGAACATGCTGTTTTCGTCAACACCGCCTTTAGAGGCTATGAGGCTGCTATGTAGCCTATGGGCCACTGAGCGTGTATCCCATGGAGGACGACCACTCAAGATCGGACTTTGGGATATATCAAGAGCCCACTTCTATGGCGTACCCAAACGCCGCATATACATCCAGTTGCCGGACGAGGACGCCAGTCCGGGAATGGTGGGTCGTTTGACTAAGTCGATGTACGGGACACAGGATGCCCCTAACATATGGCAGCAGCACTACACGCAGCTGTTGATCAAAGCCGGATATCTCCGGGGAAAGTCAAATGGCTCAGTGTTCTATCACCCGACACTGGGAATAAGAGTGCTGGTGCACGGAGATGATTTCATGGCGTTAGGAGACGCCGAGGCGCTGAAGGAAGTAGATACTTTGCTTCGCAGTGCCTACGAGTTGAAATGGCTCGGGACGATAGGTGATGAGGAAGGAGACCACAAGGAGGTCCACTTTCTCAACCGGCTCATTCGTTGTGAACAACATCAAGGAGCGAGTGCGATCCTGATCGAGCCAGATCGACGCCATGTTGATTTGCTTGTGCAGCAGCTTGGCATGGAGAATGCCAAGGGAGCGGAGACACCGGACGTGAAGAAGTCCGTGGATTTGCAGATGCAGGAAGCCCGGAGCCCAGCTCTACCGAAAGAGCAGGCTTCCCTGTATCGCTCATGCGTGATGAGGGCAGCGTACCTGTCACAGGACAGGTTGGACATCAGCCACGCTGTGAAGAATCTTGCGAGGAAGATGGTTTCTCCTACAGAGGCATCTTTGCAGGATTTGAAGCGACTGTGTCGCTACCTCATCAAGAAGCCGGACGTGTGTCAGGTCTTTGCACGGCAAGCCAAGCCGAGCAAGCTCCGAATCCAGGTGGATTCCGATCATGCCGGAGACGCAATAACGAGGAGATCCACAACAGGCATGGTTGCTCTGTATGGGTTGCATGTGCTCAAGCACAGCAGCAATGTGCAGTCGACCATCGCTTTGTCGACTGGGGAGTCGGAGTATTATGCTCTTGTCAAAGGAGGTTCAGTTGGTCTAGGCCTACAGTCACTCTTGGAGGACTTTGCGGTCGAGACCCAGGTGCTGATTCAATCAGATGCGACTGCAGCAAAAGGAACTGTCAATCGGGCAGGTCTGGGAAAGGCCCGTCACATCCAGACGAGGTTCCTGTGGTTGCAGGAAAGGGTCAGCATGGACCATCTGAGGGTGGAGCATACCCCTGGCAAGTCCAACAGGGCGGATGCTCTAACAAAGAGCATTCCAGGTGTACAGATGTCTGAGACCATGCGAAGGTGTGGTTATGTTTTCCTTAACCAGCGTAGCAAGGGACAGCTTAAGCTACTAGAAGGCTAAGGTCCCTGGCCAGACTCCGCTACCTATATTGCTGTGCGAGCGTGTACAGAGACGCTCTTCCAGCAAGGAGGAGTCATGATATGTATAGTCATAATTGCCCAATGCGCTGATTGCACTCCGTGTGGTTTTGGCTCAAGAAAAGGGTGCGCTCCGCAGTGCACCCCAGAGCCGAGATATTGCATTTTGAGCCATGTAAGAAGCCAGCACGTGTCAACAGTTATCAGGTACCAGGCCTTGTGGCTGGTTGCGTTGCCACCCCTCAAAAGTCATTGTCAGAACCCCTGAACATGCATTCCAAACACAAGCATGGAACCTGAATCAGCCCCCTGCACTTGTGTCAAGCAAGCTTTTTCAGGTTCCATGTCCACAACGGCCAGTCTTTTCATGGAGCGACGGATTCGGCCGAGGTACCCCTGTGAGGCTGTGATGGCAGAAGCTGCCGCCAGCCGGGAGGTGCTTTGCGGCCACTTTCGCGGGCCACGTTTCGGGTCTCCAAGTTTCCGCCCCACAGAGATTTTCATGGAAGGAGGGGCAAGCCGCAGGTTTTAGCCAAAAACCGCGGGGGGGGTCCCCCGAGCGAAATGAATTTCTTTGCGAATCAGGGTGTGTTGGGTTCAAGATTCCTAGTTTTGTCCACGTTTCCCTTTATCAACGGGTGGGCTAAATATGAAGAAACAGAACATGTGTTTTTGTGCGGTACCCCTTATCGTTGGGCCAACCCTAAGGAGGGCCCAAATCAAACCCAAAGGGGTCTTCCCCAAAAGGGGCTCCTCTAAAACTGACGGAGGTCTACGTTTAGCGTTGATCTGCAAGAGTGACCGCGTGCTCAGCTTGGGTTTGGAGCATTTTATTGCCACCCAACCAATTTGACGTCTTTTGGGCCAATCCACTGGATCGGAAGTGACAGGAGGGCATGGTACGGCCCGCAAGGATACCCCATTTGGTACGGCCCGCAAGGATAACCCATCTGTGTCCATGTCCTGTGTCTTCAAGTCTAGAACGTGGGATGCAGCAGGTAAGGGGCCATTTAAGATGCGCTTGGTTTGGGTTTTTTTGGCCAAAATGAGGTTCGCCCAGAACTATTAAACCCGTCCTATTAAGAGAGGGTGGTCCCCTCCTAAAGTGATGAATCTCACTAAAAGGGCACACCCCGTTTAATCAACCAGGGTTTCTTAATCCAGGATTAACATTACAAGCAAATCTATCTGAGCTTTTCCATTCCTTCCATAGCGCTGTAGGAGGGGAATCTAGAGCTTCCTCCCTGTGTCCTTTTTGATTGGTTTCCTGAAGTTTTGCAAGGTTGCCGGGTGGGGAATGTTGAAACAATGAGCTCCCCTGGCGCCCTGCCCTAAGCATTCCTTTCCACATCAAGACGTGCAGGCGGAGTCTGTGAAACACCGGCTTCAACAGGCGTGCCCCTTTGTTGCCGCTTGGGCCAGAAGTCTGGCGGGGGGGGGGAGATACAGGGGATTTGCGGGGTATGATTCACTTCCAATCCCTCGAAAGCTAAAAGAGATAAAAGAGGATGAACATGCCTTGGCACTTTTGCCGGACCTAAGCACTGCTTGCTGCCGCAAATGGCCGCTGCCGGCGTGAGCCACTTCTAGAAAGTGTGTTGTAGAGCACAGTTTGAGGGAGGGGAGGGAGGGAGGAGGGGGAGCAGGAGGGAGGGAGGGAGGGAGGGAGCCCAAATACGCCCTATCAGATTTTGCCTTGCACTCTGCTCAGCCTTGCGGCTAAGGCACGGTCCAAAGCTTTATATCGGCCGAATAGTGAATCATTCCGAACAGTAGAGCCACCTGAAATGGCAAGTGTTGGGCACTATGTGAGGAACTACTCTGAATTAGGCACTACTCTGAATTCTGGTGAGCTACCTGTAGACATTTGAAGAGCTAGCCAAGGACATAGCGAAACGACCATGGACACGTACACACGTATAGAGTTGGGGCTAACGAGCCCAACTACCCCCAACATCATTAGCTAGGTGACACGCCAAGCTGTTAGCATTTTCATGTGTGTTTTCAGTCTTTGCCCCCTCCCCCTCCCCCTCCCCCTCCCCTCCCCCTCCCCCTCCTCCCCCGCCCCCTCCACCTCCCCCTCCCCTCCCCTCCCTCCCCTCCCCTCTCCCCTCCCCTCCCCTCCCCTCCCTCCCCTGCCCCCCAGCCCCTGTGATACAGCCCAGGCCATTGACGGCCACATGCCGCTGCGGCCGCCCAAAGCCGTGCACTGCGGCATGGCGCTGAAGCGCCAGGAGACGGACCACAGCAAGCGCAAGACCAAGGTCGGGCCTCGTTTGGACACAGCTTCCCGTGGTTCCCCCCCCGCAAAAAACAAGCAAAGAACAACAAAACAACATACTCATACATGTCTATGTAGTATATATACATATACACATGCATGTACAAACATTATATATGTGCGTGTTTATATACGTGCACATATATATATATATATATACATATATGTATGTATATCATGTATGCAGGCATATGTACATACACGTGTGGGTCTAAGTGCACATATGGATACACATATGTGTATAATAAAACATAGATGTATATATATGTGATATGTGCTCCGCACATCTCAAAACCCCTCCTTTTGAAGGGCTTGTAGGTTGGGTTCCTTCAGTTCGGGCAATGTCGACCCCGGATGCGTGCTAGAACCTATTGCAGCACTTGCAGGCGTGCAGCTGCCTCAATGATGCGGATTCCATCTAAAGTGGGTCCTCGATCTTCCACCGGTTCATGTGTCACCCGGGTTTGCAGGTTAGGTTTGATCCTTGACTCTTGGCTGATTGGAGGGTCACATGTTCGGGTGGCAGGCTCGATTAATGCAACCTCATCCCTGACTAGTACACTCCTCCGTTTATCCGAGGTTATACAAGATTAAGCAGGCCAATGAGACCTTTTGGAGGTTTCCCTTGGCCATTTTATGAGTCTCCTGTGACAACAAATGGTGGTGCTCCTTTTGATTCCTTTTGCTTTCCTTTTGCCAACCTGAAAAGGAACCCATGAAAAAACACGCAGATATGTCCGCTGCCTACAAAGCAACATGGAACCCAAAAAGTGGTCCCAATAGAAGATTCCTTTCCACATTGTTGCTTTATTCCCATTTTGGTGCTTTCTCTCCCAGGTTGGATGTTGGAAGCGGGGTTCACCACCGACCGCCAGGTGGTGGCCAGTTTAGGCCCCGCCTCCTGGAGCGAGGAGATGATCCCCAAGATGATCGAGGCCTCCGGTCGAGAACGCCCGGGATTGTGGCGTCCCATGGTTTAATCCTTCGTTGGTGGTTTGGATTGCTTTTGGGTAGAAGGACCCTGGTTCTATGGGTAAAGGGAAGCGTTTCTCGGAACACTTTTAAACTGCCAATCCCAACCAGCAATTGGCTGGAAGCTGATTAAAGTGAAACCCTCAAAATTGCCCTCTAAGTGGTGGCTCAAACAGAAACAGCCCCCGAAATGTACTCTCGCATGCCTGCTGGAACTTTGAACCCCGTGGAGCAGGCATTCCAGCGATCTCCAGGACCTTTTTTTTTGCTGGCAGTGACTCATACTTGAAGCCCCGCTCAGTGGTTGTTGTGTTTTTTGCCCATATCCACCCTCAAATATGCCCAGCAAGATTGTATAGGCTTGTCCCTGGAAATGTTCACTTTGGACCCAGTTGGTCAATGGTTTCTCACCTCACGAGTTTCCCTTAAAGCTTGATAATTTAAGCAAGAAGGCTTCCATGGGCTTTGTCTGGTGTTGACGAGCCAATCATGTTTGCCCAAAGGGAAGCAGGAGGATGCATCATGGTCGAATGTTTCCACACTCCTGGGCTTTCACTTTTGCGCCATGAGTTCGCGTTTTGCCTCGAGCTGATGTTTTCAGGCCGGCACCGACATCTTCCGCCTGAACTGCTCCCATCGCCGCGGGGGGGACTTTGAGCGAGTGTATCCCCTGATCCGGAAGACTGCCAAGGAGCTCGGGAAGCAGGCGCGTGGAACCTGCAAAGCGGTTTAAACCCATTTGGGACACGACAAAGCCATGCGGAACCACAACACCAGTGGGATCGGGTTACGTGGATCCTACAACCCAACCGTTTTTTTTGCGTTGAACGGGTTTTATATGTGAAACCTAGACCCCGAGCTCTTAGGTGGAGTGCCTCGGGGACCTGCAGGGCCCCAAGTTCCGGGTGGGGGAATTGGCGGCAGACCCGGTGCAGCTGAAGGATGGTGAGGTCTTTGAGTTCGGCATCTGCAAGGAGACCTCGTTCGGGGCTCGGGGAAACGAAAACCCCGTGGATTTGAACACGGGTGGTGCATGTGGGTTTGATGACGCGTTTTTTTTCCAGGGGTCTCTGGTGTGAGTGCATGCGTGCGTGCGAGCGAGTGTGCATGCGTGCGTGGGCGTATGTGTGTGTGTGTGTGTGTGTGTGTGTGTGTGTGCGGAATTGGACACGCTTGGAAGAGTGGTAAAAAAATGATTTGGGATCCAGGCTGGTTGTTGTGACCGAATCGCCCCTTAGACATGTTGGTATTAACGAAAGGGTTTTCCAATTAACCTACATAAGGTTGGACGTTTTGCCCGAGGGGAAGAGCAACCCAGGATTTGGACCGGACAGACATCATCTCGTGCCCCGAGTCCTAGGCATTGAAATTCTGAACGAACAGTTCAGACTTGTTCTGGCCAATTCCATTAAGGGGGGTTCCTTTTCACAGAATTGTCATGGTTCCCCCGTGGTGATGCTAGTTAAGCTTTAAAGCCTAGGTTTCTAGTTGGACGGTTAAAAGCCCCGCGCATTTAACCCAGTTCCCAGTTTCCGCCATAGCAGGTCGACGGTTTGTGTCCCCTTTGGTTACTCACTTTTCGTAGCGATGGTAATAGGATTTGTCATTGGCAGACTCAACTCACCTCGCCCTTTTGCGCTTTGGGCTTCTTTCATTTCCACTGTGAAGCAGCAAATAAGTTACTCTTTGCAGGTGGCCAAGGGGCATCAACTTGGCAGGATGACAACGACCTGATCCGCCCGGGCCGCATTACCATGAAACCGACCATCGAGCAGAATGCACTGGTGAAGGCATGCGCCTCTTCCGCAGTCAGAGTTGCAGAGTTCAACCTTTCCTTGGTGCCACTATGTTGACTGATTTGTCAAAGTCAGAAACTGGTTTGAGTTCCATTGGCTGGTGTTTGGTGTGTCCGAAGCGCTCCAGAGAGACCTTTTGAAACTAGTGATTTGTCCATTAAACGTCAGGCCTTTTGCTCAGAGGGTTAGGTCCGTGTTGTTAAAGATGGCATCATGTATTCAGAATTTGCCGTGCCGCCAGCTGATAGCCCATGCATAGTCGGGTTCTTCACATGGCCCGTGTTGAAGTGTGATTTGTTCCAAAAAGACGCGGAACGCGGCTGGCGTTTTGCGTTTGAGTGGATGGGTCCAAAAGGCAGCGTCGGCTCTCGTTGGCCCAAAGTGTGGCTAGAGAGAGAGATAGAGAGAGAGAGATAGAGAGAGAGAGAGAGAGAAAGAAAGAAAGAAAGAGGGAGAGAGTGAGGGAGGGAGGGAGGGAGGGAGGGAGGACATGTTTAGGGCTCAAAAGGACTTGGCGTGCAGCAACTTTCCACGTTTCCAACTACAGCCTGAAGCTTCTTCCGCTTGCCGAGGCCAGCCGGGCACGCCTTTGCTGCTGGAGGACGGCATCATGGAGGTGAAGGTGGTCGAGAAATGCTCCGAGACCGAGCTCAAGGTAAAGGTGGCACCTCGGCCTATGTTTGGCCCATGGTCCTGTTCTTTCTCCGTCCATTTGCGGAAGTGAGTTTGTTTCGTTTTCCCCATTTTTCCCCTTTGGGTTGCAAAACCAAAAAGAGAAGCCTTTGGTGCTCTTTTCCAACCACCCCCAACCACCGGCCCCCAACCACCCCCAACCACAGCATCCCGGGCTGTTTCGCATCCGCTACGAGGTCCGCGGAGGCAAGCTCAAGGCGCGGAAGGGTGTCAACGTGCCCACGGTGCAGATCGACTGCGCTGCCCTCACGGAGAAAGACGTGGAGGACATGGGGCCATTGACCCCGAAGTGCCCACACACCTGGGTGGCTTCCTTTCTTATTTAAGTGTTTTGCCTTTGGAAACAATTACCCCCTAAAAAGGGCGACTTCTTTCTTTCTTTTTGCAAGAGGGTTGTTCAAAAAGTTAATTCGAGGAAGCCAACTCATTTTGGCAGCTCCCGAATGTTTAGGCAAGCCATAATTTCCCCTTGTGGTTCAGAAGCGGCAACTGGGTTCGGGTTCTACCCCTGCTATCAGGGGACAACCTGATTTACGCAATCATGTAGCATCCGGAAGGAACCCCTTTGAACCCATTCAACGCGTCAAAGGCTTGGCATTCGCAAAGGAATCAGCTGCATTGTTTGGACGGTTTGGAGGGGCCACTTGGAAGGTCGCCTAAAAATCCCGCTTTCGAGCCCATGTGATCAGGATGCGGAGTTCCTCTTGAAGCTTGAGCCGCCCATCGAGTACATTTGCGTCTCCTTTGTGCAGAAAGCTCAAGACCTGCAGGCCGATTCCGCGACTCGAGCTCCGGGAGGCCCTCGCTTTTCACATGACGGCGGCTCGAATAGGCCTGTTTGGAGCGGACACCCGCTTTAAACGACTATGACTCACGTGCAAATTCAGGATGTCGCTCGTTTGGCCGTGATATTCAGGAATGACTGAATTGGTGAAAGGTTGGTAATGATTCAGGTCACCTTCCTCTCATGTTTTATCCGGGGATTTGACAAACTCTGGTGGATTCATGGGGGGTCCTATGCAAGAGGGGATGCTCCACAACCCTGCTATTGCTTTATCGATCCCGGTTGATTAGTTTGGGGTCGACATTCTATATTCCTTTTTGTCCACCGCAGGTCTCTGTGTTTTGACCCTCAACCTGTTTTGTGGGCTTATAGGCCAAAGGAAAAAACAAAGGTCAACACATAGGCTTGGGGTTTGAACAAAAAGGCCCTCTCCTTCTTCCGGCTTGTGCAGGAACTGATCGACATCATGGACCGTTTGCAGATCCCTCAGGCCTTCTGGGCCGATCCACCGCTGGCTTGGGTCGCGGGAGGGGGGGGACAATTTCAACGATCTCCATTTAGTAGCTCCCTTCCCCACAAATTGCTCACAAGGTTTAGTCATTTATTCTCCCCAAAGGGAACCCTCCACAAACAATTCGCCTGACAGCTCCTTGACAAGAAGGTTGCCTGAATTTTGAACAGTCAGGCAGTTGGTACCTGCCTCTGCGCAGGGCAAGGGTTGCAAACGGGTTCTGAAGCGCTGTTTTTATCGATTCACGGAGGGAATCTGAAGAAAACCATCCATTTATAGAACTTCCCTTTGGGGGGATTGGACCCCCTTTTTGGGCCAACCATGTCAAACTGCAGTCCGCATAATTGAATGGACAAAATACAATCGGTAAATGAACCTGCACTGTTGTGGGCATGTTGTTGGATGTTTGTTTTCTGGTCCTGTTCAATTTTAGTGGGGGGGGGGCTGCAAAAAAAGTTGTAAATGAGCATGGTCATTAAATACAATTCAAAGACGAATAACACAAATGCCATCTGCCTCTTGGGCTAAAGACCAGGCCAAATTGCGAGCTCACCAATTCTGATTTCAGGTTTTGGGATTGGGCATTTGCGGATATTTGGGCCAGCCAGAAACATCACTCAAATGCCTGCTGTTGGGTTTGATCTTTGACCTTGAGCTTTTTAGGCAAATGTGTGCGTTTCCACCGCAGGCCAGCAACACAACGGAAATCAAAATGGAAGCCTGGTTAGTGGGCCAAGGGCGAAAGCCTGCGGGTGCCCAAAAAGCAAGTTCAATTCATGGTGGTCGTCCTGTCGTAGTGCACAAGAGTCGCCCCGATGCTTACCCGGGCCTGCGTTTTTGTTGGTGGTGTAATTTTGACCCATGCCCAGAAGAAGATTTAGAGGATCCCCAAAATGTGGTTTTGGTTGCGGGATTTGCCCAACGTCGCGCCGCTAGGAGCGTCGCCCGAAGATTTGCCCCAAGATCGAGAAGCCTCAGGCGCGGCCGTCGGTCCCCCCCTTTTGGCTCACTTCCTGAGTTCCTGGGCTTTATACTTTTTGGGGCTAGTCCAAAAGTTTGCTGGCTTTTTGTTGGGCCATCCACTCAGGAAGTGAGCTGGGGAAATCAGCCACCCCTGGGTTGAAGATTGCCGGGGTAATCAGAGAATGTTGCATTGGCCAGGAAAGGTGAAGAACAAATCGGAACAAGTATCCTTAAAGACTACTTCCTTGAAACTCATAGATGGGCCCTTAAAAGCCGTGTGGGAAGTCAAGGTGGTTGCGGCACCAGCTGTTGTTTCCACGGTGATTCGCGCACTTTAGCTGCTCATGAACATAACTTGGGTTTAAGGTCCGCAACATCATTCTACTGAGTTAGACACTTGTATTACACGTGTAGTGGTTAACCAGCCATTTTCCTGTAAGTTCTTCAAGCTTTGTTTTCCCTCGGCTACCTTTCTTGCAAATGGACCCTTTGTGCAGCACTATGATACCAAGTACCTGCCCGGAGTCTAAATAGCCAATAGCCCAAAGAACACCCAATGGGATGGACAAGCTCCTGCTTAACATGCAAGAAACCATCACAGCAGGACTCCTTGTGGGGGCAACTCCTTTTGGGTTCCATGAGAATTTGACTGTTCATTTTTCCTGACGCGTTTTTCCCGCATCTGGCGCCCGGTATGGCTTCCTGGCAGGCATTGACGAACATCGATGGCATCATCACGAAGTCCCAGGCCTGAGCGCATGAAGCTGGGATATCCAAGTTTTGAAGCGGAGCTGAGGGAAGGGTGGCAGCCTCCAACAAATGTATACCGTGCACGTGGATACATAGATATATATGTATATATGTATATACATATATATATATATAGATGTGTGTGTATGTATGTATGTACATATGCATTTGTGTATGGGCATTAGGGGGATTGCCATTTGCGGTCCAAAGATGTCCAACCTCCAGAGATACAGCTGAGAGAGAGAGCAGGTTCTGACCATTTGCCGCTGGTTGAACTCAAAGGGAAAACCCACCTGAAGACTGATGGACTACTGAAGTCATCCGGGCAGTCAACAAAGGAAGCCTTGCTACAAGCCAGAGGAGTTTTGACCAAGTGCCTTGAATCTGGCCTGACGTTGCGAACCTTGCCTCATGGAATTCTGAGCTGCCTCAGATTGACATGTCCCAATTTCGCGGCTGCAACATTGCCGCAAGGCGCTCATGGTGGCCAGAGGGGACCTGGGAGTGGAGCTGGAGCTCGAGCGGGTTCCCTTCGCGCAGAAGCTGCTGATTAGGACGGGAAATATCCATGGGCACACCTCCCACTGCCCCTCCCCAAAAAAACAAGTACCAGGATCTAAAAGGGCCCACGCCCGAGATCCCTACCTGCGCCTCCCAAGGTTTCAGGGGTCAAATTTGGATTTCCTTCCGGAAGTTGCTCGCCAGTGGGCATTACATGACTTCGAGGTCCAAACATGAACCATACACGAAGTTGAAGAACTTCCCGGGCTCTGTGCCGATATGTTCCTTCTAGGCCGGAAGGGAGCTGCCAATTTGTTTCGCCGGTTGGTTGGTTGTCCATGGTTGCCAGTGTTTGATATGAGGCTTGGCCAACATGTTTTCCTGATGTGTCCATGGTTGTTATTGTGCGAAGGACGCGGTCTAGCCACAAAAAGCAGCCCACGAATTGTCCTATGCAAGCCAGCGATCTGCTGTTCTGTTCGGCTCTTTAGGACACAAGTGGTTTTTCCATTAAACTTACAAAAGGTCAACCCTTGTTTGCAATCTTACTAGAGGTCGTTTTCAGGCGTTTTCTGACCAGTCCACTCACTGGTGGAGGAACCCGTGTGAAACCCGTGTGAACCTGCTAAATATGTCATGTCTCCATTCCGGGCCTCGCATCCAGGAGGGCCAAAGATGCTGGCCTCTTCGCTGCTCAGCTTGACAGCTCGGTCCAAGGACCATGCACAGATCATGGTAACGATATCTTGGGTGGTTGCCTTTAGCTTTGATGTCACCAATGAACCAGGTAGGAGCTTTTCCCCTTTTCCCCTTTCCCCAACAACAACTTCAACTCTTTGGGCAGGGAGGATCCGCAGATTTTGGGTGCATCACCCGGAGGAAGGCTAAAGATGTGCAGCTGGGGGGCCTGGTTTGGTATCTTGCCCGAAGGGACACCACACGCAGGTTGCTTTGCTTCGTCGAGCTCATTTAACGGGCCCTAGCATATTTGATCATTCGGGTTCAAATGGATTTCCACCCATTTGACGTGGTCTCCACCTACACGAGACCTAGCCAAATCCTCGGCTCCCATGGGAACGCAGCGCATGGTGTTCAAGAAGGTCTCTTTGGTTGTTTGTGCCGAACTTCGGGGGAATTCGTTCGTGTTTTCCGGATCTTATGCAAGTGGCGCAAAGGCTGCTGTGCACAAAACAGTTTAGCAGCTGTTCAAGAAAGACTGGCATTTATTTCCTTTTGAAAGTTCTGTCGAAATCAAAGCATTGTACTTTCCTACACTTCAGGTCGCACCCGTGGCATGAACCTTGAAAGAGGATTTTTTGAGGAACCCCCTGATTAACCCGGAGCCCCTTCGGTCCTGGTCCTTTTGTAGCCAATTGAACTGGACACCTCTTCGGTTCTCGCCTTCTTGGCCCTTTCACGGCAATAGGATTCAACAGGACTTTACTTCGAATTGCAGCATCATTTTTTGTTGTTGAGCTCTAGTGGGTCACGGTGGGTTTTCTGTTAATGAAATGCATTTTTGATTTTCAGCGCAGACCAATCAAATACTAAGCAAACAGGAAAGCCCCTTTTCTGGCAGGTTTGCTGGCTTGGCTGCTGCACGGTGGGGGGTACCTTTAACTAGGGGGGGGGTGTTGGGGAGGCCCAACAAATGTTTGGGTAGGGATTTTGGGCAAGCCTTGTTAGCCCTCTACTTTAGTATTGGTGGGAATCTGGGATTCAAAAGAGGACACCTTTAATCCGGGGGGGGTGCTAATCGTGCACTGGCATCAGTGGCAACATTGCGTTTTGCCGATCCGCTCTGGAAGAAAGTAGAATAAATACCATAGAACTGTCACTTAATTTTTAGATTATATCGCTAGGTCTCTCAAAGGCTGAGTTTATGCTCATGTATGCCCCTGGTATGTCCCACTAGCTGATTGGCAAGTTACGCCTGGATGGCTTGGTAGTTTGCCAAGCCCCCTTGGTCCAAAGTGGCACGGCTTCGGGTCTGAGCGCTGAAGAGGTCATCAACGCCACGCAGATGGTGGAAAGTATGATTGAGCGCCCTGGCGGTATGAAAATGCAGCCGATGATTTAGGGACCTCTGAGGGGGGATGTAGGGAGATCCCGGGAGAGGCCTGGAGGCATCATGTTCCGGGTTTTTACCGCAGTGGCCATAGCTCCAAAACTTGGCCAGCCGTACGCTATTGGAGTGTAGAAGGTTTTTAGAAGGATGTATCGCATATCCCCGGCACATCCCGGCACGAACCACTCAGCATGCTTGTCAACCAAGGAGGCTTCCAATTCTTTTTCTACTAGTATCATGGGCAACTGGGTATCAAAGATGTTGGAGCCTGCTTTCTGAAGGCAGGCCGAATGCTTGATGGCTTACCATGTCATGCATCTTTTTCTGGAAGGTGTGCTTTACGAGACAAAACAGCCGGTCCTACTTCAAGCTGCGGTGATTGCTGGTCTTAGACACACGTATGGTCGCCCTGAACTGTCTTTGGTATTCCAAACGTTGCCCCAATTCATTGCTGGCAAAAGGGCTGGCCTGATAGCCAAATCGACAAGCTACGGGTTCATACGTGATTTCATCGTTCGGTCAATCTTACCTCTAGCCTCTGGTCAATTTGAGAGTTGTTTTTCCTGGGGTAGTGGTTTGGGAGCTCGCGGCATCGGCGAGATGGACATCCAAGGCAGCCGGTGCCTACCCGCGCCGAAGTGAGCGATCTGCAGAACGCCGTTCCCAGACCAAAGACTTAGCATTTTTGGGTGCTTAAAAGATGATAATTTAACTATACCCATTTGGACAACGGGGATTGTTGTATTGTTTGGATTCTTGCAGGTGCCTTCTATCACGCAATTTTTCACCTGCTGTCTGTTTTTTTGGTTTTCCCTTGGCAAAGTTGCCCAGTTGCTTTTGCCATTGCCTTGTTGGCGTTTGTTTGCACTGCGGCCTCGCGTTTTCTTTTTCCCCGTTGCCCTTTACAGTGGCCACTTGCCCGTTGTGGGTCAGGTCTGGGACGGTGCGGATGCGGTGATGCTCAGCGGCGAGGCCGCCAGCGGGAAGTTCCCCTGCCGCTGGGCTGGTATGTCAATATCCCTTGGCGGTTGCCAGCCGTCTCCTTAGGCTTTTGTTTTTTGTTGGTCTAGGGGGGGGTTTGCATTGAACCCACTAAACAATGAACTTTTGGCAGGGGATCTCAGACATCAGCCCACGTTTCTTCTCTCACTTGCCCAAGGCGAATCGACCTTTTGACCGCTTGATTTCCCCAGTTTGGTCCATTGGTCATGGCCGCAGGTGACCTTGTATGTGTGGGTCCTTTTTGGGGCAACGGAGTTTTTGATGTGTTTGTTGAGTGGTAGCTGGAACCAAGTCAAAGTTTGCACTTTGGAATCCTTTGTATTTGAACTAGGGCTCAACTTGCATTTTGGTTTCCAGCCACTAGAACGAGACAAAGCCCAGACAACTCAGACGTTCCAACCACCAGTTCGTTTAGCTAGCCACGCTTGTTTACTTGACGAGTTGATGAACGAAACATCAACTGGGGTTGAATTGGGTAATTTTGACCAACTCGCTCCAAAAAGAACCGCCTTCTGGACACGCCGACGCCTTCTCCTAGCCTCCCAACGGTCTGCAAGCGCACGAGGTGAGGCGGTGCGCGCAGAGGCGGACGCCGCCTTGGAGGCGGAGAGCGTGAAGCACCTGCTGGTGCCGCAGGTCTTCGATGACTACGCCCCTCGAATCCCCTCGAGCAAAAAAGCCAAGAAACTAAGCCCCCCAGGAGTGCCCTTTGACCCAGTAGTGCCAACTTTTACCGTTTCTTTTTTTGGGGGGAGGGTTCCCCTACTAAAATTTAGACTACAGAAAAAAGGGTACGCTTATTCTAACCTTGGTTCTGATTTGTACTGGAGGACCAAGTAAAGGTACCGACGTCTCCAAAATGGATCGGGTTTTTCAAGGGACACCACAAAGAAACACTTCACCTATTTTGAGACAGACCCAGCTGGGTATGAATTTTGGCATGTGTTTTTTTGAGAGTGCCCTATTTAAGACAAACCAACCACCCTGTTTTGACACTGACATGCGCAAATCATGATTTTTGTTGGGGGCAAACTCAAATGGGGCCAGATGTAGAACACATTATGTTTGGTCAATGCTTGATAAAGCTTACCAGTTGAGTCGCCGAACTTAGACCCAATGGTAGAGTTATTCATCATTTTAAGAGGCAACAATGGGTTCCCGTGTTTCCCGTTGCCAGTTTAGGCGTCACTTGGACCGATTCTAGGTGAGCTTCCTTTGGGGTGATGTTGTCGGAGAATTGATTGAGAGGGTGCGTCTTCTTTAATTAAGCCTACACCAACAGAACAAAAAACACAAATATATAGACATAATTGTAGACATGTATACATACATATATTTTGTTATTTATTTGGCGGCCGGGGGGGGGTCGCATGGGGTCGCCTAACGGAGACCCAAAAGGCCCAAAAGGAGCCAACGCCCAAACGCAAGCGCCGAGGTGGTGGAGGAGGGCAACAAGCCGAGGGAGCTGGATGATGGCAAGCGCAAGACCAAGGTGGTGGCGAGTTTGGGCCCCTCCTCGTGGAGTGACGAGATGATCCAAAAGATGATCCTGGCCGGGTCGGAAGGGTCGGGTGGAAATGTGTGGTGAAGTTGGTGGAGTTTGGGAGCTTGGTGAATTTTGAGAGGGTTAAGGAAAAATGACTCTTGGAATCCATCCGTGGTAGCCCACTTCCTACTAATTGGTTGGCAGGCATGAATCCTCACCTACATTGTGCCCACGAAAGGTCCCCGCGTGAAATCCATGCCCATGTGTACATCATGTTAGCGTCCAATTTGTTGTGTTCACCGACTGCGCCAGTTCTCAGCAACGGCTTGGCTGGCCGCTGGTCGATTCTCAGCGGAAGGCCTTTGGTTCAGTAGAAGCATCTCCTGGACATGGGCCACGTGCCCATGCCTTCGAAAGCCAGAGGTTTGGCTTGCGGCTTGGTTTCACGTTGGTTTTCTCGACAACCATTTGGGTCGGGGTGGAAGTAGACAGCACAATTCCCTGCCCAGTTCGGTTCCAAAATTACTCTAACCTACAGAAACAGAATTTGTGCTATGTACCACCCTGGTTGTTGCAACTCACTCCCCAAGTGTCCTGGACATATTGTTCTTCTTGTTTTTTTCTTCTTTTTTTTTTTCCGGGAAGACGATGTTAGTTAGGTGGCAGCCAACAAGTTGCGACTTTGTTTGGATCCATTGGGCAAGTGAGTCCACTTTATATGGGTGTGTATTTTTTGAGGTACCCTTTTTTCGGGTGGTTTCAAAGGAAAAACATAGACACTTAGAGGTTGTCTTGCAGACTCAACCCTCAAAGAACCATCCCCCCTGAACAAACAGGTTGCAACATGTTGAACCCTAAATGTCCACCATATTCCCCTCCCCCCCCCCCTCCCAATGTGTGCATATACCCAGAGCAACACTCTCCTTGACGGGCGGCGTATGCTTCCAGGCTGGCACGGACATCTTCCGCCTGAACTGCTCGCACCGCCGAGGCCAGATCTCGGGTTGGAGAGGCTTTTGCTCCTGGGGTGGGGTTTGTTCAGCTACCTCTTGGGACATTTTTTTTGGTTTAGTGTGTGCTTGAAGTAGGTTCCTCAAGTACACCCCCACCCTGTGAACCCGTCAAAAATGAAATGGGAAGGGGATTCCATTTGTGTCTGTGTGACACTGTGTGGTTTTGGAGGGTACCCTTGTCACCGTGGACTACATGGAAAACCACAAAAAATGTTGAAGTTGGGTTCCGTCAACTTAGAGACATGCCTGCGGTGTGCTGTTCCCTTTTTGATGTTAGGACGCAATAGACCTGGGGACCCCCCGCGCCCAGGTGGAGACTTTGAGCGAGTCTACCCATTGATCCGCAAGCATTCCAAGGAGAGGGCGAGCAGCACGCAGTCTGTACATGTGTTTTTTTCTTGCTGGCCCTCAGGCTGGGTCAAGGTACCATTTGAAGCATCTTTGCCCTTGCGATGAACCAAGAACATATTTGGGTCCCGGGCCATGTCGAACGTTGGCCAAGAAGTAGGGTTCTGGGAAAGAACCTAGAACCCCCTGAAAGGAGAGCACAAGGGATGGCTCACATGGATGACTCCTCGAGCTGTTGACCGTTTGGCGTTTCCGCGTTGCCATGTTGACCAATTCTCGGCAAGGTTCCAAAAGGGTAAGCATTTGGCCCTTTGGACAAGTGAGACATGTTAAGGCTGACTGAATCACCTGCCCAGTTTCTGGGCTTCAAGCTTTTTGGGAAGGTCCTTTGGGTAAACAAAAGTCCGGACATTCTTTGTCCACCAAAAGGGCTCACTTCCTGAGTGGGTACTGCCGTGCTCCATCGTTGTTATTTGACGGCGTTGCCCTTGTGCAAGCCTATGCTCAGTATATCTCAATTTGCTTTGCAGTGGGAATCGCAGCACTGGCCGTATCCGTGCGCAAGAATCACCCACTCCCCGAGTCACTTTAAAAAGGTCATTTTAGTGGACATTTCAGACGTTCTGGCTCCACTAGAGTGAGAGAGTAGAGCCTAGGGACAACCAAGATTAGCCCGGACCAAGGGACAAGCTCAAAAGATCCTTGGGCCGTGCTTTCAAACGTTTCCAATCCATTTGCGCGGGGCGCGGTCGGGGGACTCACCATGTTCTCCCATTCGCCTGGGATCCTGTTTTTCAGACACCCATCATGGGCTATGCAGGGGTCACCCAATTCTTGGTGTCATGCCTTTTTTTCAAGGGGCCACCCCGTTTTGTTCAGTCACCCACTTGTTGGAACCCGCTTTTTTGCGGGTCGACGATGCTAGGAGCTGGGCGTCACAGTGCAGTGCCTCGGTGACCTCCAGGGTCCCAAGTTCCGCGTGGGCGAGCCGGGGGCCACAGAGACTCGAAGGATCTCTAGGGTTGCACCCATCTCAGTTGATCAGTTTCTGGGTTTCCCTTGAAGCTGCCTGGTCTAAAAATTGGAAATTGAGGGACACCTGACTGAGAGTCTCGGTAAAGCCACTCAAAAGCGGAGAAAAGCGGGCACGGCGGAGTCATCCCATCGAAATTCTGGCTCGCCTGGGCCGGCCGAAAGAATTGGAATGCCACGGGAGACTTTGCTTTGGCCGCTTATGTTGCACCGGCCGCGGTAGCTGGGAAAAGCTTCTCTTGAATCTCTCGGAAGTTGTATCCATCTTTGAACAATCCACTTATTTTTTGGGGGGAGGACCAGTTCAGTGGGGCAGCTGAATCAGTTCATTTCAAGGGCTCAACTTGTTTTGTCTCGACCCTTTTTTTTAACCCCGGAAGGCTGGCGGGCGATCCGGTGGAGCTGAAGAATGGCGACGTCCTCGAGTTCGGTGCCTCGGCCTATCCCGGGGCGGCCGGCCAACCGAGGCTTCTCAAAGATTTATGGAACATCTCACGGCCCGAATGTCTGGATTGTTTCATACTCTTGGGAGGGCAAGTTTAGTGGAAAACAACGAGGAAGTCTAGATGCAAAGGGTATGCAAGTTGCTATATGACCTATTTTTCCAAGGAGCTGGTGGTAAGCAGCTTTGTCAAAGGCCGATTGTCTCAAGTTTTGGGGAAGACTAAGCCGAAGGCATCTAAGGCGGGTGAAAGTAAATGGCGAACTCAGCACCCATTTGGGTTTAGTCATCCCCCTTACCGCAAATCTACCGGGTATTGTGCCATTTACTGTCGGCCTGGTCCATCCTGGTCCACATTGTTTAAACACACAATTGTACTGCTGTATTGACTTGGGACGGCGGGTGTCCGTTGCATTCGTTGCAGGCTGTCAAGGGGCCGCACCGAACCCCAAGAGATCTCGGAGTTTTCGTCTAGTGGCCGGGGACTGGTGAGGGGTCGGTGGGGCTAAGGGCCTTTGCGTCTGCAAGGCACAATTTGTGCAAGTGGATCTGAGGCATTTGCAAGGACGACGCCGACACCATCAAGCCTGGCCGTATCACCATGAAGCCAACCACAGAGCAGAGACCCGGCAAACGCACACTTGGCGTTTTCGCTCGTTGTTCAAGGGCCTGCCCACGTGCGCCATGATCGAAACGCCTTTTTTCTTTCAGTTGGTATGGCTGGCCACCCCTTTAAGGTTCCTGCCAAGGGAGCCATGGCACACTATAAGTTGGGATCAAGGAGCATGCATCCCTGAAGAAAATGAATCCCCCGCAACTTGTGGCACTTTTTGTCAGACACTCGGAAACCGTCGGAAAAGAGCAAGTTTTTGAGAAAGAACAACTGGGTTAAACCGTTTGGTGCAATGTCCCCCCCAGTTCATAACTCTCACCCTCACCAGCAAACAGGCCTTCCCCTCTTTTCAGGCCAGTTGTTGGTTTGGATGGGCTTGATGATTGAAGCCCTGGTTCTTGTAGGGCAAATTGGAAAGCCCGAAACACCAGTCCAAACCAGTAATCCGCTTGGAGGAAAGCTGAGGTGATGTTGAAGTCCAGGTTCCAATCCAGCCTCACTTGGCCAAAGCGGACCTTTTCACCTTTTGGTTTTGCCTTGTTGGTCCATGTTGAGTAAAGGTCCCAAAAGGTGATGACCTTTTATTTCCAGGTCCATTGAAAAGCCAAGTGAGCAACCCTCGGACCCCCCCAACAAAACATATATGAAAAACTGAAGAAGAGTTTTTAGGGGTTCCCCCTAAGGACATACCCATATCCCCTTGCACCTATCCGAGGAATGCCCTGGTGGAGGCCTGCAAAGTGGGCACGGTGCTTCTCATCGAGGATGGCCTCATGGAGGTGAAAGTCACCGAGAGCCCCGGATCGATCCAAGAAGCCACCGGTCGTACGGTCGTACGGTCGTACGCCTGCGGGCCTGGAGAAGAGGTTTTTGGGTTTGCCAAAAGAGGTTTGCGTCTGCCAAAAGGTTCTACCAAAAGGTTGAAGTTGATTAGAGCCTATCTTATCTTCGAAGAGGGAATTGGAGGGTTGGCCTCAAACCCGCTCTTAGCTCTTTTGAACTTCTATGTTTTGTCTGCGTTTCGTGGCTGGAGCCAACGTTGAAATGTTAATACGAGGTTCACAGCTTAGATCCTGCAAGGCCTCACCAATGACGCCTTTTGCTTGTCAGGTCAGCAGGGAGCGCCACAGTTTATGGCGCAAGCTCAAAAAGACCAGCAAGGAGCCTGTGGTTAAATGCGGGAAATGTCTCCATTTTCTGGGACATGGTATGGAACCCTGAATGTGGGTGGTGGGTCCACCTCTTTTTTTGGGGGGGGGTCCTTCCATAGAAAAGGGGGCCCGTCGGCCCTGGCAGAGTCCTTTGACACCCCTGAATGAGACACCCCCGGAAGCCCCTGAAGTGCTTAATCCGTTGGGTTCTATTTCCTAGCCCCTAAGCCTGTTTCTGACACGCTTACCTTCGGTTTAGGTGCCCAGGAACAGAAGCTGCGAATGCTTTGGGTTGTGGGCTCAAGGGAACCTCCTCTTCTTGGACGGGCGTTCCATAAGATCAACCCGTTTTTTTCCCATAGCTGGCCACTAGGGGCCGCGGAGGGGCACAAGCCCCTGTCCAGAACTCAGCATCTGAATCCAACGCAAACTTTTGAACCCTTGAACTACTGTTGCTTTTTGTTTTCTCTTTGGTGGCTGAACACAATGTTTACAACTTATCAAGCCCCAGGCATTTGAGTCCTTCCCTCAGGAAGTGCTCCAATACCGAGCTAAAGGTGGAGGTCCTCAGGGGTGGCAAGCTCAAGGCAGGATTCGATTCGCCCTAACCTGGAAGGGTCCAGGCCTGCTGGCTGCAAATTCCAGCGACGTCGTTGCCGAAAGCTTCCACATGTCAGCTTTCTTTCACAGGGATCCGATTTGTATTTTAAAGGTTATCGACCGACTTGTTGTTTGGTCAGATTGAATTTCCCGCAAGGGAAAAGCAATGGATGGAATATGTGTTGTTTTTCCGCACCCCCTGTTTGGCACCTAATCTGGGCAAAAAGAACTCTACCGCCCTCATTAGCTCGAGGGCAAAACTTACGAGCTAACCTACAACGAAGGTCCTCGGGTCTTCGGTATTTGCAAATTGTGACTGACCGTATTTTGCAAAGTTTAATGGGCGAGTCTATTACAGCAAGTTTGGTATAACCAAACGTCAATCAGTGTTGCCAGCTCAAGTCGCTAAGAGACTTGCGCTGCTTTGACGCCAAGCTTTGTGACAATACCTTCAACTGGCGCATCAACAGCTCCACTGGTTGTTGCAATCTGCTCGCGCCCCGAGTTTTCCGGACTTCAAGCCTTTCGGAAAGACCGTTTAGCTGTTTTTGGCAATCCACTCAGCAAGTGAGACTCACTTGAAATCCTGCGTTCGTGCTGTTCAGAAGGGAACCCAGAGGGACCCCCCAGACCAGCCCAGTTGCCAGGCGCGCAAGGGCGTCAATGTTCCGGACCTGGAGATCAATTGTGCGGCCCTCACCTCCAAGGACCCCTCCCGCGTTGCCATGGCACCAGACAGGGGATCCTGTCAAGAGGAAATTGATCTTCCAGATGCCCTCGGACAGGTCCTATGTCTGTAAGAGGATGGGTGGAGACTTCATAAACCAAGCTACGATCATAAGAGAACCAGTTGTCCTTAAGAAAGTTGTAGTGTGTTCGCGTGGAGATTTATTTTCTGGCTTGGGAATTTCAGACATTGGCCAGATTGCTGCCTTACCCGCCTTACACGGGATTCACAGACTCTTTAATCTGCAAAGCAGCATGAGTTTTCTGGGGTGAAGTGTAAGGGTAAACGTATGGAACCCTTGCACAAACATGGAGCCCACGGAAGAAGCCTCCGTTCGTGTACTGTCAGAGCAGGGAAACTTTTGGGGTTTGTCTCCGAATGAAAGGAACTCCGAGCATGGGGCCCTGGGCCTAGGGCGGTTGCGACGTCACCCACCCAGGATGAAGGTTTCTTTTATAGGTGGTTTCTTATTTTTGGCTGGTGAATTCTATACGTTGCCCAGATGGGAAGCTTGCCTTAGCGTGTTTTTTGAACACAAAACAGAATAACGAGGGCCCGGTGTAAAATCAAGAAAGCATGGACCAAGTGGTTGGAACACTGAATGTCAGCTGCGATGCGATTGGTTCTTGCTCTCCCACCAAATGTCATAGACAGGGCCCCTTGGAAAATACTCTTCTAGGAACCTCCGGGTCCTTGGTCCGGACCGGCACCAGAGACAAAGTTTGATCAACCAGGCCCCCCGGCTATGGCAGAGCCAAAGGGAGGCATTCACTCAATGGCACGTTAAAACACATGTATATATGATAAACGGGGATTGTTCAGAGTCTTGGACGAACACCAGGGGTTCACCCCTGGAATTTGCTTTATTGCTTCATATTCCCTTTGGTTGGAAGGCAAGGATTGGATTGGGGGACCTCAACCCCACCACCCTCCCCAGGACATCGAGGATGCAGAGTTCCTCTTGCAGCTGGATCCCCCCATCGAATACATTTGCGTTTCCTTCGTGCAGAAGGGCCAAGACTTGCAGGAGCTGATCGATATCATGGACACCTACCTGCATGCTTGAGTGCTATTGCAGGGGCGCATGACATGTTTGCTTGAGGAATCTTAGGCGATGTGTACCCCCGGTGGAACCCCTAAACCTCATTGTAAACTGCAACGGAGGTTGCGGCTTTGTTTCTTGTTTTTGATGTTTAAGCCGTTTTTTTCGCATGATCGTGAACAAGAGTAGCATGTAGATTATGTTTGCCCCAGTTCAATCAGGGTGAGCACTAAGTTATGTTCAATTAGACTCTTTTGGGATCCGGCCTGCCATTGTCAGAATTCCTTAGATAAAAGGATGCAACATTTGAGCCAGTGAAAGCTGATGTTTGAGCAATGCTTTGAGCTATGAGTATTTTTATGTTTGTAAATTGATGATCAGCTTTGTCGGCTTGTATCTTTGTAAAGCTAATGCTTTTGGTATGCATGTATCCTTCTATCTTTAGCTTACTTCTCCAGTTTTTGTTTTATACTTGAGAGCCAATTTCCTGATTGCTATCAGGTTGGATCTTTAGACACCAACTTTTTGGTTGAAATCAATGAGTTTCCCGCATTGGACCCACAACATGTGAACCGCTTTTTGCAGAGGGGCCGTTGCAGCAACCAAGTTTGGGTGGATTTTGGCGGAAGGCCATTTTGGAGGGCCATGTTTGTGAGCCATGTCTAGATTTATGCTTGATTTGGGCCGTTTTGGTGGCCCACCGAACGCCGCAAGCCGCTTTTTTTGGGGGTCGAGCCACCAAGGATCGCCTCAAGATCCCGGCGGAGCGCCGGCCCAAGATCTGCCCCAAGATCGAGAAGCCCCAGGCACCGACACGGGAAAGCTGAGAAAGGTGGAACTACCCTCAAGAGAAAATCAAGAAAACTAGTCACCCCCTGCTCACTTCCCCAAGGCGAATCGACCTTTTGAGCTTTTAGTTTCCTCTTGATCCATTCCCCCGGATTTCACCCTTGGCAGGGTGGTTTTCAAGAACGCCCAAAGGAATCCACTGATGTTGACGTACCCAAATACCATATAGAAATACAAGGAAATACACAACGAATGCTGGGAATTCTTTGTTTGCTTTAGTCCTAAAAGTTCTCACTTGCGCCAAGGCGAATCGACTGGATCTGACCTTTCAGTTTGCAATAGTTTCCCCTTGGTGTCCCAAAAAAGGTTGACCTTCCATTTGCGGGTCCTTTGGGCAACTGAGCTCTGGACTTTGTACTTTTAAGAAAAGGAGGCAGCTGTGGACACCAACGTTTTTGTTCTCCATATTTTCAGCTGACCAGAGTTGTATGCTGTGGTCGCAAACGGTTTTGCCCCTCGAATGAGATAGCAATAGGCTTCGGAGTTCGGAGCATTCAGGGAGGGTTCCGGAAAAGTTCCGCTGGGGATGCCTGGGCGTACTTTGTGTCAGGGCTAGAACCGGCTGCCTATATCTCCAATTAAGGAATCACCTGGCCGAGAGGAAACTCATCTAAACACGTGGCAACCACAAGGGATGTTCAAACCGGGCTGACAAGGGACATGTAGGGACCGTAACGCTGGCTTTTTTATTTTGCCACCAAAGTTGCTTCAAAATCCCTGGCGTTAGGGGAAAATGATAGCGTTTAGAGGGAAAATCATTTGCCAGATGATGCAGGGCATCCACTGAAAGCATTTGGGTGTATCCTGTAGCGAAGTCGGTTAAACAACACACGTTCCTGTTGTTTCAAGCAAAGGCCTTCTCCAACAAACAAGCTTGGGAACCAATGAATAGGGGGGGTCCCTTTTTGTTCCTTGCCCGTAGTTTCGCTTGGTAGGCAAGGAAATAATGTATAACACTGGCGGGCCTTATCACATCTCAGCACTTCCGGTTAGGGTCGGGTGGTGATTTGTATGTTTGCTTATGTTGGTACCTATGTTCAGGGTTTTAAAGGGAAGCTCAGGAATTTGATTTTAGCTTCATGTTCCATTTTGTTGGAAGACGCGCGAAAATGGCACCCCCTCCCCCTGAAGGTATAGGCGGGATTCATGTGCTCTAAAGGACATGTTGCAGGAAATCTATGTTTAGTGTGGGTTTGCCAACTTTCCAGTAGAAGTTCAGCTGAATTCTTTGAGATAATTGATGCACCCCTGCACGAATTGGCCGGCGAATCGAGTCAGGCGCTGACCAACATTGACGGCATCATCGCCAAGTCGCAGGCTGGAAGACCGTTGGGGTTTCTTACCATGTTTGGGTTTGCACAGATGTGGGCATATGTGGGCCAAGTATTGCCTTGTTGTTTAGGGGTTTCCCCTTTGTACTCATCACCCCCCCCAACAAGAACAGAAAAAAGGAAGAAGAGGAGAACAATATTATAAGAGAGTGTATCACCTTGTTTTTCCCATGGCCGGCCAAGACCAGAGTGCTGAAACTTGCATGATCGCTACGCCTGGGAAAGAGAAGTCGGACGGAAACTGCCTAATTCGCCGGAGGCGCTGATGGTGGCCCGAGGGGACCTCGGAGTGGAGCTGGGCTTGTACCGCGTGCCCTTCGCCCAGAAGCTGCTCATCGCGCGTGCCAAGCAGGCTGGGCTCTTCGAGCCTTGGCACGGAGCATCGAAAGTGGGACGGGTCGTTTTCTTGCTGCTGCGCCAGTTCGGGAATGTGGGAATGAACCCAGGCTTTGGTCCCCTTAAAGGAAACCGCAAGGGATGGTTTAGAAGGGTCATTCCCTCATTGCCTGCTGAGCACTAGCAAGCTTGTCCATTTGCTATAGAAAGCACCTGGGCTGAAAAAACAACCCCGCGCCTTTTCGTTATGTAAGGGGCCGTCCCTTAACTTGTTTCGCAGGCCAAAACCATTGCAAACCGATACAGAGGGGAAAAAAAAAAAAAAACGATACCCCCAGAAGCCATGAAGACACACATCAGGTCCTAGTTGTTGTCGCAAACCAAGATTGCGGAATCATAAATTTGCAGGGCCCAAACCGATACCCAAACCGATGCCCAACCGATACCCAACTCATTGGCCGCCATGCCGAATCCAACCAGCTGCCCTGCAGCCTTCCCTGGAGTTGGCAACATGTACTTTGTGTACTACAATTGTACTGAAAAGTTGCGACTTCCGCTGTGGAGCTGCCAAAATGTACTTCGTATACTACACCATACTACACTTACTTGCACTGAAAAGCTGCGACTTTCGAGCCGGAGCTGCCAAAGTGTACTGCGCATACTACTGAAAAGTTGCTACTTTCCAGCTCAAGCTGCCAAAATGTACTTTGGGCACTACACTTGTACTGAAAGGTTGCGACTTTCCAGCTGGAGCTGGGAGCTGGCAGAGTGTACTTCGCGTACTACACTTGTACGGAAAAGTCGCGACTTTCGAGCTAGAGCTGCCAGAACACTGCAAACCGATGCAGAGGAAAAATCCGATACTGACCGATACTGAGACATAAGGATACAAGGGTTGTCCACGGGTTTTTTTTTCAACCCACCTGGAAGAGAGGTTATCACCTGTTGGCACCTTGGGCGAGCCGGGAAACCAGGAAACCAATAGGTGAAAATGTCATATTCTTCCATTTGCTGAAGTTAACACGTTTGACTTGCTCGTATTTGTTGAACAAAAGAATGAATCAAATCCTTTGTGCGGTCCAAAGTTGTTTCTCGGTGAAAGCCTTGGGCGGCCGTTGTGATTATTGTTGTTGTTGTTGCTGCTGCATCATCTCCTTTCTCGTACTTTTCCCGTCTCTAAATCGTCATGATCATCATCATATCCTCAAAACCAGGCCATGCCAATGGATGCAGGGCGCTTTCCGAATCATTTGATTCAGAGAATAGATGGCTTTCAATGTTTGAAGAAGTAAGAACGTCTCCTTGAATTAATGACATCGTTTGGTTAGATGGACGCAGGTGAGCATTGGACTAGAAGCGCCTGGGCCGCCCGCTGAGGTATTGCTCATATCAGCTCAGTTAGGGCCTTGCAACCCTACTGGTCAAAGGGCACAAGGCCGCCTTTCAGGTTCAGTGCCCATTGGTCAGGATTCCTTAAATCATACATCCACAAACCATGGGGAACCTCTCAATCAGCTGGTGGTTATTTCTGACTGGCCCCGGATGGCATCCTTTGGGGGGCCCTGCCAGACTTTGTTTCTGCGGGGTTTCCATCAGTTTCCCTTTCCCCCAGCAAAAGCTGACTTCTTGGCAGCAGATTCTTGTAGAGGGCAAAAGGGAAACCAATCCAAAGCCCCCTGTCCGAGGGAAGCTGACTCTGAGGTGATCAACGCTACACAGGTGGTGGAAAGCATGATCAAGAACCCCGTGCCCACCCGCGCCGAAGTGAGCGACGTGTGCAACGCTGTGTGGGATGGCGCGGATGTCGCCTGGAGAGCAAAGCACGAATGGCATACGTGAGCAGGGGGTTGGAGGTATGGAGGCTGAAGCACCACAAATGCAAGTTCGTAAGGCAGTGTGATGTATGAATAAGCTCCATACCTGAAAATGCCCTTGAGAAACATGAGAGCTACGTCCTCGGAACCCGGGTAGATGAAAGTTGGGGGTTGTCCCAACCAACAGGGTTCGATATCTTTTCTGATGCATTCTTTACATGGTGCAATCGGTCGGTCGGTCGGTTGGTCGCTCGGTCGGCCCACCGGTCGGTCGGTCAGTCGGTCGTGCGTTTGTTGGTTGGTTGGTTCCTTGTGGTCGGTCGGTCGCTTGGTTGGTTTCTTAGTGCGTGAGTGAGTGAGGGAGTCTTGGTCGTTAAGCACGGCTGGGTTTTGGGCCCTGTAGTGCAGTGGCACCCTTGCTTCCCTTTTGTTTGGTGGTTTCCTCACTAAACATACGTATGGTGAACCCTAGCCCTAAAAGGGTTCGGAGTTTGTTTCTGCCGAACGGGACGCTGGATGCAATTGGAGAACAAGGGCATTTTGCTTTGCCGGCCGTGTGCTAAAATTTCAATAGCCGCCGATAAGCTTTAATTTGGTGAAGGGGAACCGCAGGGGATAGGCATTTGTGTAAGTTTCCAGCTCCGATGCACCGAAGGCTGTGATGCTTTCCGGAGAAGCTGCCAGTGGTGACTTCCCCCTCGAGGCTGCAACTTGACCAGGAAGCCCCGGGACCTGATAATTACGGGGTTTCACGACGAATTTCTGCGGAGGGGTCTCCTCCAAACTTATGTTGGATTTGTTTTTTAAGGATGGGCCCAATATGAAATCCAGCCCTACTGCGGATGGACGAAATCCTGCACTTGGAAACCATGGTTGAAACCATTTGGTTGGTATTCATTCCAGAGTTTCTTAGGTGGTGATCAACGGATTATCAATGGGTTTCGTCCATCCACAGTTGGAAGAGGACCTTCCGTTTCAAAAGGGGCGCCTGGTGGCTTATAAATCGCCCACAAGGGCGTAAGCGCTTGAAGGGCTTAAGGTGATGTGGTTCTATGGTTACGGCCATGGATCGGATTCTGGGAAGTGACATGTGTTTGGCTGCGCGAGTTACACATACATAAATGAGACCTCCATGCTTAATGAATCAGAAGAGGGTAATTCACGATTTGGCTCCTTTCCGGGGATATACAGCCACTAGCACCCGAAAAGCGGGTCAAGTATTGAGAACCAAGCTGGTTTCACCCTTTGCAGGGTTGTTTCGAAGAAAGCCCAAGGACAACCCCTGATGTTTGCCCAAATGTATCATAGAAATACGCAATCAATACAAGACAATATCTTTCTTTAGTCAGACAAGTTCTGACTTTCCCAAGGCGAATTGACCGGATCTGACCTTTAGTTTTTCCCCTTGACTCATGGTTAGTCATGGCCTCAAAGCTTGACCTTCTATTTGTGGGTCCCTAAGGGGCAACTGAGAGGCGTTCAAGATGAATGTTTGGGGATCGAACTGCTTTTCCGGACCATGTCCACCAGTTCTACTCCACATGGCCCATGACAAAATGGTTCCCTTAAAACATGGTTTTCTCTAATCCACATGGTTCCCTTAAAGCACGACCCAAGCCGCCCCAAACGGACCCCCGGGCGCGCGCGCCGAGGTCATGGCGGAGGCCTCTGCGGCCCGGGAGGCGGAGTCCGTGAAGCACCGACTCCGTCGCGCCTGCCCACCGGTGGAGTCATGCCCTTCGGCATGGCGCTGGCTGATTCGATAATCTTCCAAGTGGTCAAGAAGATGTTTGTTTTCCTCTGGTTGTAAAGGGAATCCATCACTGGACATATTTCTATTTGTTCCAGAGGACGTAAGCAAATGGAGGGCATGAGAATTGGCACGACCCCAAGAAACACCATCCATGCGTTTTGGCTTCCTTTAAGGGAATCGCTAGGTTCGTTCCCAACAACCTGGATCAAGGCTTTTGCAAGGGGAAGGAACTTGGGAAACAGAAAGGGTAGCAAACAGACAAATGATTCGCACAGTTCGAGTTGTGTTTGTTTTTGTTGTTGGGTGAACAAGCTTAGGAAACAACAATCACAAGGCGTCCGGGAGGCTAAGAGGCTCAAATGCTTAACTAATAGAATGACAAGAAACAATATTTGCAAGCAAAGTAAATGTTCAAGAAGCAAAACCCCTTTTGCAATCGTTGTGTGTAGCATTTGAGCTTCTTGTTCATTGTTTGTTGCTCTTTGGCGTTGGCACCCAGCTTGTTTAGGAGGATGCCCTTCAAGCCTTGCTTTCAAGCTAAAGTGTGACCCATGCACCAAGGGCATGTTACTGTACCACTCTGAGACTCTGAGGTGAAGTGGTGCCGCCAATGCTGCACGTGAACATGGGCAACAAGAAGCAGGAGCCGCAGATAAAGACCTTGTGTGACTCCTCTTAGGGTCAAGCATGTTCAGGAGTAGCGGCGGAAGGCGCGCTGTGCTTTCAAAAAATGGCGACCAGTTTCAGCCTTGGCGTTGTTCTGAGAGAAGTGGGCTTTAAGAAGTAAAACCAGCTTTGAGGCTGAGCCACGAGTACATGTACATTACACGGCCTTCATGTTGGTTGACTATTTGCCCTGGCAGGCACTACCTTTAAAACAAAAGGATCACAACCCCCCAACGGCGATCAATGGTTCTGTTAAGTGAACATGGTTGTTGTTATTTGAGGTCATGGGCAATTCCCTTGTTTCACACCCGGTCGACCCTGGCCCTGGTGGCACAACCTTCAGGAGACGGACGACTCTCTGAGGAAGAGCAAAGTGGTGGCCAGCCTGGGCCCTGCCTCGTGGAGTGAGGCCGACGCAGGGACGAGCTGTTGGAGCTATCACATTTGGGTGTGTCTTTTTTGATGCTACCCTTTTGGTATGTTTTGAAGGGACGCCAAAAGGAAAACCACCATTTTGGGGGTAACAAAAACGAGAGACAGAGAAACAGAAAGGCAAAACACGCTACAAATGGAAACACCAAGGGAAAGAGAGAGAGAGAGAGAGAGAGAGAGCGAGAGGAAACAAAAACATGGCAGTGGACCCCTAAATATCGAAAGTAAGAAAACAAGGGGCAACCCTGATTTGCCATGGCTTGTGGTAAGTGGTTCGCAAGAGCCACACATTTTTTGCCATGCCCAGCATCAACGGTATATGGGCCAACACGCAAAGGCTTGTGTCTCCTTTGCAAGCATTTGTGCTGAAGTTTCCCTCTGAGTAAGCAAGGGGGGTGGCCCCTTAAATGCCATTCATAATCTCATTTACGTGTCCATCTTGCATCTTTCTTCCGGCTGCCAAACGGAACTTGCAGACCCGCCACTTCACAATCTTACGCCGCGAACATGCTACGAGAACATGCTTTCAGAGGGCTGAAATTAGAAAGCAGCCGGAGCCTGAGTCACTGAGTCAAAGCAAAGTAGTGATCCAGGAGATGATTCCCAAGATGATCGAGGCGGGCACGGACATCTTCCGCCTGAACTGCTCTCACCGCCGGGGTGGGGACTTCGAACGAGTCTACCCGCTGATCCGCAAAACGGCTCACGAGATGGGCAAGAAGGCCCTCCTGCGATTTGTTTCGAAACGCTGGAAATGGTCAGGGATAGGTTCGGCCGACAAGACAAAACAGTGAAGAAACCCTCGAAACAGGCATTGATGTTCGGTTGAAAGGTGCCAACTTTGGGGAGAAACAATTTTCTCAACAAAAATCAGTGGAGAAAGGTCATAAACTTCCAGGCGGTAAGGAATATTTGTGTAGCCTAGTCACAGACATCTATCACTACCAACTGGAATAGGTATTTTTCCAGTGGACTGCAAATGGCAGCATAAGAGATTAGGGAATATTACTGACATGCTGCTCATGTGATCATGACTTTGGATTCAAAGTACCCCACAGCCCCATTCTGATGATTGAGCCCTTGCTCCATGGCATCCCACAGCCCCATTCTGATGATTGAGCCCTTGCTTCCTGGCGTCTTTTTTGGAGGGCCTGTTACACAACTGCCCGGTTTTCGTCAGGTGGAGTGCTTGGGGGACCTGCAGGGCCCCAAGTTCCGCGTGGGCGAGCTGGCGGGAGAGCCCATCGATCTCATCAACGGCGAGGTTCTGGAGTTTGGCCACAGCCCCGGATGTCGAATGTTCGGCTTGGGGCGAAACCACACGGCGGATGTTACCCATTTGTTTGGGGATGTTCAGGGCTGAAAGAGGAGACCTTCCTGGAAATGGTCCCCAAAAGGAACCCTGATAGGCTCTAGACCCTATGTAGAGTCGCAACTATAGGATTTGTTTGGGACGGCTAGTGGACTGGCTTTGGGCAATCCACTCAAGAAACCGAGTCGTCCAAGCCGCATCGTCCATTAAACCTTGTCTGGGGGTTCCTCAGGTATTTCTTGATATTGCAACCCGTGATGAAGGTCTGGCCCCTCCCTTTGGGGATGCTTGGGTTCGCTCTTTCGCCTTGTCAATCTGGAGAATTTGCCCAGAGTTTGAGAGTCTTCAACGGGAGCCCCGTATGCCTCGCTGGGCGCCCTTGATCAGGGTTCCGCAGTTTATGGGCTCCTTATATCTTGTTGCGTGTTCCACATCTCCTTTTTTGGTCGCCGAGATTTGATATCCAGTGAGGCTGGGTGTGTAAAGTAATAAAATATGAACATATCCTTGCTGGGATTGTACGCATCGTGGTTTTTGCACCCAATTGTAGTCTAGTCAATTTTGCTGACTGGGCAGATTCGCAACTTTCTACTTGTTGAGTGATCTTGGTGGCCGCAGATTGGTAAGTTGTCACGGGAGTCAGCAAAGAGTTGTCCAGCTGAGTTCGGGCCCGTTCTGCGCATGCCTTTCGCCATTTAAACAGGATGTATCTGCTCATTTGGGCTGGTCGCGTTTGGTTTCCACCATCTGAAAGTGGCCTCCTATTTTTGGACCCCCACCCATGTTAATCGCACGTATGCCGCCCATTGTTACCAAGAGCTGCTCTTGAGCGCCCGCCCGGAGTTTCTGGGATGATCGGGCAAACGTCATTGACCTCGACACATCCAATGAATGTATGTATGTACATATATATATATATGTTTATTTCTATACACGCATTCATACATATATTTACACATACGCATATATCACGAAAGCTAGCTTTAGCTAGCTGAAGTTTCTCCTTGCGTAAGCAAGGTAAGGGGCTCAAATGCCGAAAGATTGATTTTTTCTATTTGAGCCGAAAAGATTGAAAAACATCAATTATTTAGACCCCCCCCCCCCGGGTCTCAGGCTCGATTCCTCCCTGGTCCATCCCCCCCCCCCGGGCAGTGGCTCAGTGTTCAGCAGTCTCGGTTTGCCCGTTTTGGACTTGGTGCTACGAACTTTTACATGTTCCACCGATTCAGCTTGTTCATTTGAGACCTCAGTCTTCTCAGTAAACCACCTCGCAAGAATCTTTGCACACGCAGCATGCAGAACCCAGAGGTGCTTTAAGACAGCTTCTGACGCCTCTCGTTGTTTTCATTTTTCAAGGTTTGCCACGCCACCATGTGCGTTTGCGTGTCGCATCCTACGAATCTTGCCGGGCCTCTCGTTGTACACAAGCTACCCATGAATCCACTCTGTCACCGACCCATCTCATGCAACAACTGCTAGCTTTCGTTCACCCGCTCCTCAAGTATATATATATATATAGATATATATGAATAGTTATTTAGTTACAGATGCGCACACGGGTTTCAACGTTGGAAGCCCGGTGACGGAAATGTTTCATCTGCTTCTTGCACCGAGGCATCAGCGTGGACGACAACGACAACATTCGGCCAGGGCGCATCACCATGAAGCCCACCTTGGAGCAGAAGGCGTTGATCGCGGCCTCCAAGGTTGGCATCGACCTGTTGCTGGAGGATGGCATTATGAAGGCCGGGATTCGGAATCCGGAGCTGTCAGCCTGAAAGGGGCTTCCCAAGTTTTTGGCCGGCTTCCCCCAAAAATTGCCTCTTTTTTTTTCCTCTCGGGGCTTTTCAAGGGGCACATCATAGCCACGTAGGTGCCAGGGTTTCTTGCAACATGCGTTCCAACAGCCGGATGGTGCCTTGTAAAGTTGTAAAGGAGGCCAACTTTAGCTTTTGAAGCAATGTAGCTTGTGTCATGGGCCTCCAAGGCAAACCTATGAAGGTTAGGGACCTGGCGGCCTCATGCAGGGATAGGCAGGAAGTCCATGACTGTGGTTTCTATACCTTCGGTGCTGTCGCCTTAGTGGTTGCCAATCAGAAAGAGCCCATCGCGGATAGGCTGGGCAATTCTCGTTTGTCCACCGATGAACAAATTGGCACCTCAGGTCCAAGTGGTGGAGAAGCTCAGTGACACTGAGCTCAAGGTGAAAGTTATCCGGGGCGGCAAGCTGAAGGCGGGGTATTCCGCTTGACTGCCTCGGTACGACCAACCAGGGAACCTACGCCCCACCAAACCGATTGCCACGAAAAAGTAGAAGCAGGCTGCAGGAATTTTGACTAGACATTTCCCAAACGGCCGCCAAGCATTTCCTGTGGTTTCTCTAGCTGGTGACTCAGAAAAACAAGCATGGGACAAATTGGTTTACCGGGCGGAGGTGGAAAGAGAGCGAGAGAGAGAGAGAGAGAGATTCAGACAGTTTGCTTGCTCAGCTAGGCAGCCAGTGGAAGAGAGGTGGCCCAGGGCACCTGTAGTTAGACTGGTGGAGAGGTCAGTGGGAGAAATCACTCGTTTAGTGTTGGTTTCAATTTTTGGGTTTTGGACAACCATGTTTATTGTTAGGTGGGACTTGGTTATTAGGGGGAAGAGATTCTGTTCCCCTTTTAGTTTGGTGAGTTCGGGACCTTCATAGGCGTGTCCCAATAGCGGGAGGATTCGAATCCCCCAGAGAGTGTCCATTGGTTTCTCTTTAAGCCGACCCCAAAAAGGGTGCCTTCAAACAAAAACACACATGCAAGTGATCAATTCCCAATTTTTTTGGGATTCGGGAACATGGTTTGATGTTCAGTCGGGAATGTCCTGGAGCTTTGGGAGATGGACCGCTCAGGATCTCAAAAGGAAACCACCAGTTGGACGGTTCATCTCAGGGTTCCAACTCGTTCCCTCACAGCCAACAAGCGGCTCTCCCCAAGGCTTCCGCAGGCTTTTCTGGAAGCCTTTCTTATCGGGAAAGTTGGATAGGAATCCTGGCTTGGTGTCACAGAAAACGTGAGATTGTCCATAGCCATATCTTAGGCCAATTCATTGCAAGCATGCTTGTCTTGTTTGGACTCTGCTCGCCGCTGCATCCTGGAGCACAGGCGCGAAAGGGCGTGAATGTTCCGGACGTCGAGATCGACTGCGCAGCTCTGACTGCCAAAGACATCGAGGACTTGGATCAAGTTTTGCAGTCGAGACATCCAGCAAGAACCTCAAGCTGCGATCCCTCCGAATGCATCCGAAACGATGCCCTCCGCGGATAAACTGGAGGAATCCCCTCGCAAAAGGGCGCCCGGTTGCCATGATCAAACGCTAGGGGAAAGTCTCATGTACAACCTGGCGGTAAGAATCAACCATCATTTGAATCCATCAAGGCCCTTTACTGGGTGCCACATAGCCCATATGATACTTTAATTTGTGCAAAGGGAACCCAAGGGGATGGTTTTCTTGTGTATCCAGACCCCCCCGCCTATTCAGCACCCAGTTTAGTTGTTAAATGGTTTCTGGTAGCTAGAAGCACCGCATTTTTTCTGCAATCCCAATGCCTCAAATGAGAGGATGCAGAGTTCCTGCTGCAGCTGGACCCACCCATCGAGTACATTTGCGTGTCATTCGTGCAGAAGGGCCAGGACCGTCTCGGAATCGACCTACAAATGTTGATTTGCTGGCGGTTCAACTTTCATGCTGGCACACCCAAATAGAGCCCTCATTTTTTCTACCATCACTGGACAAGTGGGGTCCATCGGGTTTGAGTTGAGGTTGGCATCTGAAACACAATCTGATCGGCATGTGTCAAGGCCCCAAAAGTTGATTATTTTTGTTTTGATTTTGGGGACCATGGTGGATTGAGCTTGGATGGCCAATTGTTTCTTGCGCACCTTTGGTATCCTTTGGTGTTACACGAGTTCATTGTGTTTTCCGCTTGTTCATTTGATTCCACAATCGAAGCGCTTTTTTGTTTGGCTTCGCCACCCGTGTAAAACTATATTTCAAACTGGCTTCCAAGAAACTTGCTTGCCACCAAAGCGAACCGACCTTTTAACCCTTGCTTATGGCCTGATTTGGTCCATGTTTCGGTTGAGCTTTTAATGCTAACCTCGGATCAAGCAAACAAAAAGGCTGGTTGATCGATGGGGTAGTCGGGGCTTACCACTTTTGGAGCGGGTGTCTCGCCTAATAGGGCGAGTCTCCCAGGTCGGGAACTGGTCCCAACGCTTGCGTCAGGACCTCCAGGAGCTGATTGACATCATGGACCGCCTCAAGGTGCCGCAGGAGAGCCATCGAAGTGACCAGCTGAGACATCCACGCAATTTCTCGGCGAAATGCCCTCAAAGAAATCGCATTGGGGGCGGTTTCAGGGAAACCGGGAACGAAGAGTAATTTGGAGGATGCTCCATGTTCCAAATACTCACTTACAAAGTGACAAGCGTTGCCCCAACAGGCTGCAACTACCCCAATAGACATGGAAGGGACAGGCCCCTGCCTCTTGGCTTGGGGGTTTCCTTCCAAAGCGGTGGGCAGTTCCATGTTTGCTGGTGAGTTGGGACTTGTATTCTCAGAATGTCCTTTGTTCATCCCAACGAAAGCAACCAAGGGGATAGATAAGCGCCGAGCATTTTGCTCAGGGTCTTGGGATTGAAAGGAATCCAGCCATTCGGTTCTCATTGTTGCAGCGTCATGAACCTGCATCAAAGCTCCAACCCTCAACTCCAACCCAAAATCAACCCTGAACTGCAACCCTGAACTAACCTAAGGGAACCTTGAACTAACCTAAGCTAACTCCAACCAAGCACAACCAAACCTTAAACAAACCCCAGCCAACCCCCAGCTTTCCACCAAGCGAGAGACCGCGCTCAGGAGAAGCGCCCCAAGATTTGCCCCAAGATCGAGAAGCCTCAGGCGCTCGCTCTGCCGTTTGGAAGAGCTGCCTGAACCAGATGGGAGCAACTTGGTCAACGGTTTCCTTTCCTCTCTTCTCACAGGATCCCTACATATTTCCGCTTTTCAGCCGGTAGCATGACCTTTTGGTTTGCCACTTTAGGATGAGTTGTCTCATGGTAGGGGGGAGCCCTGTTGCACAAGGGATCAAATTTTCTACCCTCCCCGTTTTGAGGGTTCCAGCGCTGCGCCAGCTAAGCAACGCATGTGGAAATGGCGGTCCATTGCCGTCCTCCATATATTCCAAATGCCCTGAGACCCTTGTGGCACATTTTGGGCTTTCGGCCCACTTTCTACTTTCTGTTTGCGAGACCAGTGAGACTTTGGTTGTGCCAGAATTGGGGGGGGGGGGGGGTTAAGTTGCAACTTGCTGTGAGGGCCTCAAGCCTTCTGAATCGTTCAAGTAGCGTAGTCATGGGTCTCAGAAAGGGTCAACCACCTTCCTGCGCTGACTAGTAGCGGTTTCCCATGCGCAGGCCCTGACCAACATTGACGGCATCATCGCCAAATCGCAGGCGCGACGCGGCCGGCGTGATGGGGGGGATCGGATTTTGTCAAGTAGCATGGAACCGGAACAAGGGGTTCCCAAAAGAAGATTCGTATTATTTTTTTTCTTTTTTTGGCGGGGGGGGGGGTGATCCCGAATTGGATCAGATTCTTCACAAGGGGAAAACACCTTTCCAGGGTGAACGGTCAGGGTCAATGCATCTAGGGATCCTGCTCACATGCTTTGGACGCCGGGGTGTCATGGGTCCACATTGTTGTGGTCAAGTTGACCGCCAGGCGCTCATGGTGGCCAGAGGAGACCTCGGAGTGGAGCTGGAGCTTGAGAGGGTGCCCTTCGCCCAGAAGCTGCTGATCCGCAAAGCCAAGGCAAGAGCATGGTCAAGCCAGAAGGGGGTGGCTCGTCTTTTTGTGAGATGGCCTTTCTGGGCTTGAATCAAAAGAAAACCAATCGAACACTATTTGTTTGGCGGGCACCCTGTTTCAAGATACCCGCATCACGCCAGAACGGCGAATGGCTGTGCCGCAACACGCCGCATCACTGAAGCGTGTTCTCGGCATATCCGCAAGGAGGGCCTCCTTAAACGTTTTGGAACATGTGTGTTCTTCAACAAATCGACAAGTTTATCTGATTTTGCACAGGGGGCAATGTTCCGGGCAAACTTGGATAGACTCAAGCAGCTTACAAGCATGCATGTAAGTAGGCTAATTGCGTTGGGTCCCCTGCCCTTACGAAGTGCTGGGTCCCCTATCCTTATCTCAGTTGTTCAAAGCCGGCCTTTCAACCTTTTGGTTTTCCCTTATTGGTGCGCTTTTAGTAAAGACCCCAAAAGGTTGACCTTTCAATTCTATTTGGGCAACTGATTTACGTGGCGCCAGAGAGGGGAAAAAAAGAACAAGAGAGGGCTCGCTCCCAAGGGATTCAAACCGCCAGGATGCGGGGCTCTTCGTGATCAACGCCACGCAGATGGTGGAGAGCATGCCCCGCGGCTGCCATGGGAGCTGCTTGGGGTGGCTCGTAGATGAAGTACCCCATTAAGTTGGCGGTTTGGGTTGGTGGTTTTGGGATAACCCCTGGTTTTTGTGAGTAAATGAGAAACCGTCCCGGAATACCGGCAAACCACCGGGCTCCAAACCAACAATTAGAGAGAAGCTGAGTAGATTGGTTTCCTCCCCCCTTGGTGTTTGAGACTTTCCAAGGTTTTACCCATGGCGCTTGAGGATTTTTTATACGGTTCCTCTTCAAACTCCTCGGCTTATTGTTTTTAATGCACCTGTTCCGCTGGATGTCCACTTTCTGCAATGGTGCTGGCTCTTATCCAGCAATCAACCAGCCAGTTCATTTGGTCCCCAGTTTGAAAAGCTGGCCTGTTTCAGTGCGGAGGCGGCTTCCCATCACTGGAAGTGGCAAATATTACCAGAATAGGGCATGCATGAAGTCGTCAAGCCAGCTGAGGATCGAAAACCCAGTGCCAACCCGCGCGGAAGTGAGCGACCTCCAGAATGCTATTTGGGATGGAGCAGATGCTGTCATGCTGAGTGGTGAGGCGGGGCAGGGTGGGGCTTTCGGCTTTTCCTCATGGGTTTGTAAACCCACGTCTGGCTGCCAAGTTGTCTGACGTCGGTCGCTTTAAAAAAGCGGCAGAAATAACACCCTGCAAGACTTTCAAGCTATTCCCCTCAAAGGATTGTAAGGCCCAGGTGCCAAAAGCACAACGCCTCTTCCCGGGAGTCGCAAGGCCGCCAGCGGGAAGTTCCCCTGCGAGTCGGTGAAGGCCGAGGCGGCAGCGGCCCTCGAGGCCGAGAGCGCGCCTTGGCTCACGTCAGATTTCGCCCAAATCCTCCGAACCGCGGCCGATTCCAGATAATGCAAGTGGGGCTCGAGATGGTTGACTAGGGTGCAAAATGCCCAAAACCCCAAAGAGCCGCAGAGCCGCAGCCCTAAACTTGAAAGCATACCCTCCCATCTTAAACATTAATTATGCGCATAGAATCAAAAGTCAATGGGTTAAACTTCACCATTTGAGTGGCAACCAACGGTTTGTTTGAACTTGTTTTTGTTTTTTTTTTGGGGGGGAGGGGGGGTGCATTTTTTTGGGGGGGAGTGAGCAAAATGGTGTTATGAAGTTGTAAACCCCATTTAGGAGGTTGTTGAGATTTGTTGAGGTTGTAACCCCAACTAGAGCCGAACAGTTCGGCGTTCTTGCTACGGTTGGTAGCAGGAAGTCCACGGAAAGGCATCAAATTTTAAAGGTTCCCCTATCTTGACACGTGCAGACCGCAGGTGGTGCCGTTGTTCCAACGTGCTTTACCAGGGCAAACCTTGCTGAGGTTAGCTGCACGAATTTGGGGTGCCCAGTTGTCTTTTTGCCGGGCAACTCATATTCAGTTTAACCTACAAATGAATCACAATGAAGGTTATAGTGGATAATATCCCAACCCTTGGGTTTGAACATTGGCAAAGTGCATTCCATGGCTAGCTGGCTACCCTCCCAACATGGCGCCCCCTTCAAAATGGAGAGTCTTAAAGGGGCTGCTGCAGCAATCCATCGGTGCGAGGGTATATGATATTCAGTGACAATAGAATATGTGTGGGGGGGGGGGGGTATTTTGGTGATCCTTTTTTGGAGTGGTCGTGAAGGGACACCAAAAAGACAACCGCAATGCTTGGGGCCCCAATAATTTGGACACATTCCCATGTCATTATTTGGTGTAGGCCTCGTTTCTACCGATCATCGTTTGGTTTTTCTTACAAGGAAGTTGTATGGGTGGACAGGAAAGGTCGCAACCTGGTCAAGGAGCCTGAAAACACATCTCATGTAGGAACACCACCCTTCACGAAATATGTTTCATTTGTTTGAACCTCACCTGTGAACTTAAGGGTTGGTTCTCCATTTCTTCAGAGACCCCCTTGCAACCTGCGTTTTGAGCCATGGTCCCATCCCTGAAGCGACTTGGGAGGCGTCTCCCTTTTGGAGCCGCGCTGAGGTCAAAGACCTGCTCCAGGTGCGCTTGCCCCTGGACTACTGCTGCGACGAGGGCAACAAGCCCCGGGAGCTGGACGACTCCAAGCGCCGGACCAAGGCCCAAGCAACGCAACGAAGCAACAGGGGAGCCGAGCAAATTGGTGAGGTGTCATAGGCCCAAAAGGTGACTGGCTTTGTAGGTGTCTCATGGTCTTGCTGGTGGGGCTGTCAGTGGATTCTGCCCTTGTTCCCTTTTTGCTTGGTGCCCCGCAAGCAGGAAACCGACGCAAAAGCAAACATGGCTGCTTGGCCAAATCGCCCTGGAGAGACCTTTTGGAAACAAACGGCTTTTCAATGAAACATGAACCATCATGAACCTACAAACAAATGATTGACCTTTTGCTCGCAGAGCAGCCCAGAAGCAATGTTCCATTTTCTCCCCAGGGCACTGAGACTGGGCAACCGGGGGAATGCCCTGGACGATCTTGGAGGTGCCAAATGACTCGCAAATTCTTGTTCTGCGGCATCAAACCCTTCGAATTGCTAGAGCTGCTTGTGACATATACCCTTATATAGAGCGCGAGCTTCCTTTCGTATTGGTAGCACCGGAGTGGATCTACCTCCTCAAGTTTGTCACTCAGCTTAGCTTGGCTTGGCCTGTTGTAATGAGCCAAGTGATTCGTGTTACGGTTTGTTCTTCCTGGGGCTACCCCCTTTAGAGTCACAAGGAACCCACGCAACCATGACTATATATATTTTTAGGCGAGCCTTCTTTCGGGCCATCCCTTGTTGAGTTCCCTGAACGTGCGTGATGGTTTTGTCAATTACCTATTTGCTGATTTAAACATGTTTGAGCGAACTTTGAAAAATAACGTGACGAGCTTGAATCTCATTTTGGTGCGGCCAGAGCAGCCCAGACGTTGACGAAAGATGGTCCAAGTTTCAGCAATGCCGCGTGTAAAGCATGTAGTTTCTTACAAGGCGGCGAGTAGAAGCTAAATTTGTCAGATTAGAAGCTTCTGTTGAGCACTAAAAGGCGTAGATTCTGAGCGGCTTCCATCAAAGCGAGCCCTTAGGCTGAAGAAATAGCGAGCTGTTCGCATGTACTGGTCATGGAAAAGTAGTTTATCCGGATCAGGCACCTGTTCCAGTGCTTGAGTGGTTCTGGATGTCACTTGCGAACATGGAGAGACACGTTTGAACTATGCTTAGATTTGTTCAGGCGCTGTCTGACAAGAGCTTCCGTGCGCCCATTGCTCTTGCAGCCAAATGCGGGCCCCGCATGGAAGCATTTAGCCGCTATATAGTCCCCTTGTCGAATTGGTTCAAAGTCAATGTTTAACGTTGGACGTATGCTTGAAACCCTATTATCGCTCTTGTTCTCGCAGGTCGTGTCCAGCTTGGGCCCTGCCTCCTGGAGCGAGGCCGGGTGAGTTTTGGGGTTCCTTTCAGGACATGGCCTTTATTTTATAAAGGTATGGTGGATGCCCTGCCTGCATGGAAGCAACCGGAAACCTTGTTCCTTGCAATGTGCATATTTCAAATTTCCCAGACCCCGAGTTACTACGCAGGGTGCTGTGGAGATATGCCCAGATTTCGTCCTCAAGCAAACACAGAGGGACCAACGGCATCCGTACCAGTGCGAATTGAGGAGGGTGTGTCTTTGTTCAGGGGCCCAGGCGACCCCACAAAGGATACCCTCAAAGCGGACACCTCCCACAGGAGCATAGGTGTTGGTTAGAGCTAGATGGCTTTGCCAGGGCCATCTATTTGTCCAAAAGGAGACCCGCAGGAGATGATCCCCAAGATGATCGAGGCGGGCACGGACATCTTCCGCCTGAACTGCTCCCACCGCCGGGGTGGGGACTTCGAACGGGTCTACCCGCTGATCCGCAAGACCGCCAAGGAGATGGGGAAGAAGGCGGGCCCAAGGGAACGTTTACGGGAAAGTGTGGGGTACACACGGAGGTCCCTATATATATTTCCCTTTTCGAACGTTTCCCCATTAACAAATCGAGGCGAATCATTCCGATTTCCTGCTGCCTTGCCCTTCCAAGGTGAGATGAAGTACCCTCTACTTCACATGGTGTAGCCATCAGGGTCCCCATGAGGAAACCAACCGCTAGGTTTGAGCCTACCTCGAGGAAACAGACGAGACATGGGGCCGTTTCCGCCCGCCCTGATCTGTAGTTCGAGCCCGGATTTGTAAACCCACTTTAAAGAAATCCGGACTTCCACTAAAATGAGTGGGGAGCTCCCACTCATCATCAACAAGTTCCACTTTCCTTTCCTTTGGGTTTACATGTGGTAACATCTTACATGTTTGCGTTTCACTGAATATGAACGTCAACATATTCAACTCCCAAATAAAAACAAGTCCCTTCCATGGGTAGTCTTGGGTGTGACCTTAGCGCAGATGTCCAAAACACGGTCCAAACCAGGACCCCCCCGAACGTCAGGTTCCATGTTACTTGGTGTGTACCTACAACAGGTCTAGCAACCTTTCGGGTCTCGAAAGCCCAGTTTCGGGAGAACTTACCAAATCCTGTTTTGTTCAGGCGGGGGGGGGGGCGGTACGTGGAATCTACGAAACCCGTTTTTGTTGTGCGTATGTTGGGCATGTGGAACCTACAGCGTCCCGGGCCAACGGAGGTGGAGTGCCTCGGCGACCTCCAGGGTCCCAAGTTCCGGGTGGGCGAGCTGGCCGGGGAGCCGGTGCCGCTGCAGAACGGCGACATCTTGGAGCTCCCAAGCCGCAAGCCGCCGAGGGAGGGGTTTTCCGGGTCAAAAGCTCAAGTGTGGTCCAAGCCGCCCCCCCCCCCCCGCCTGTTCTGTCCGTTCTAAAGCACAGAGGCGAGGTTTTGCTTTTGCTGCTCGAATTGGGGGGATGCCTTCTTAGAGCTGTTGGCTTGCATTCGCTTTTTTAGGGTAATTTCTGCCCAAATGATTGATTATGGATGAGCAGGGGGAGGGATTCTTGTTGTTCTTCAACCTAGCTGTTCGTTTGCTTGAACCCTGCTGCTTTCAGGGTCCGAAGACGGGTTGGGGTCAACGAACACTTGCCTTCGGCTGAGGTTCGGGATTTGCGTGGATGACAACGACAACATCCGCCCAGGACGCATCACAATGAAGTGCTTTGGCCGGCAATCGGAGCACGAGGTTGATAGGATGAATCACTCCGTCCCCTTAGATAAGACTCGTGCTGTTCCAAACATGTTGTTTGGACCCTGCCCCCGCCCAACAACGTTGATGAATTCAATCAGCCACCACTGAAGTCACTAGTCCAGATCTTGCAAAATTGTGGCGGCTGGCAACATGTTGGGCTCACCCATTGGGCCCGCGGCTGAAAGCCAATACGATTTCCCCTTGAAACATCAAATGAACCCAACGAGTCTCAGAGTATTGCGCATGTTCCATTGGCCATTGGCCAATAGCAGAAAAGGGGCCTCCAGACGTCATTGCGCCGGGCTTCATGGCCTTCAAGTTTCTCGATGTTTTTTCACTCTTCGGATCTCCTGTAGTTGCTTCTTTTAGTAAGACCTCACCTGGGGCCCATTGAAAGGGAGTCACATGGGGTCATCACCTTTCTGATTTCCTGGCGAGTCATGGATTTGGAAGCCGGCCAGATGGTTTTCTGCGGCCGCTTGGCCTAGGTAGGTGTTTTGGGAACATGTCCCCTGTGCCAAGTAGGGCCATCCTTAGTTGTCGCTTTGAAGCGGCTTCCCTTATCACAGAAAGTAGCGAGCTGTTGGTGATCAGAATTCATTATTTTATTCGGCTATTGTTCACCCATTGACGTTAACGTTGGGATCTAACGTGGTTGTAAGGCTGATTTGGGTGTGTCTTTGTTTTGCAGTTGTTGTCTTTTTTGGCTGGTTAAAAGGGAGGCCGAAAGGAAACAAAGCATTTAGGGAGTCCATGAACTTTGAGACAACAAAACGGTTTGCTGTGGACTTCATCATGTTCAGACTTGCCGCACGTTAGGCCCACCCTTGAGCAGAACGCCCTTGTCAAGGGCTGCCAGGCAATGGCTTCAAAGTGTCCGGAAAACGGATCGGATGGCACCCCGCTATAGAACCCTTCTTTGGGCAAGGGGTAATGAAGGGGAATAACAAAAAGGAACGGAGACCTCTGACTTTCTTTTGTTTTGGCAACGATTTAGAGTCAGGGTGAAGGGTCCCAGTATACTATTTTTAATCCCAGCGGCCAAAGGGGTGTTGGGGCAAAACACGAGCAAGGCCATCAATGGACCCTTAACCAAGCCTCATGGCAACAAACACCACGAGCATTCAAAACGGGCTGGCCGGGTATCAGTTGTCCTTGCTCAGCCCTGGCAGAGCTGGACCAGGGTTTGAGACTTTGTGACGGCACAGGGTTCTTCAGAAACGATCTCGCACGGGGGGGGGGGAATGGACTGTTTGCAGCCAAGAGCCCAAAAAGCCAAAACCCTAGAAGGATGCGCAATCGCCGGCCAAGCCTGGATATTGCACGGAGAGGTTTTTAGACCCTTGTGCGAACCCCTGGCCACTCAATGTTTTGGGCCAGTTTTTGAGATCTATGCACGCACATTTAGTTATGGCGAATGTTGACTCGGATGGACTCCACGGATTCATGAATAAATGTTGCCGTAGCGTATTAAGTAAGGGCAGCAAAATTTACGCAAAGGTGGCATGCAAAACATTGCCTTCGACCTGGGTTGTGAGTTGTTCAACAATAAATCGATAATCCCGGTACAAATTGCGGATTAGGATGAGGGATTCCATTTGTTCACTCCCTTTGTTGCTGGACTTCAGTCCCTTGTTGGGAAGACCAGCTTGGTGGCAACCAACAAGTTTGGCCTTTTTGGGCCATCCACTCGGAAAGTCACAATTTGAACAAAGCAGTTGCCAAATCGAGTCCTTCCTAATTTTCTGATTTGCGGCAGGTGGGGACGACGCTGCTCATCGAAGATGGGATCATGGAGGCAGGCGTTGGCAGTATAAGCTGGCTGGGTGGCTAGCACCCTAAATGCTGTCTAAATAGCAGTCGCGCAGGGGGGGGGGTGTTGAAAATTACTTTCCTTAACGAAAGTTGACAGGGGTGGATAGCCTCTTTTCGGTTTCCAACCACACGGAAGTCGGGAAGGCTTGCCATGTTTCGATTGCTGGCTTCAAGATTCAGGGTTATAGGGTTCACTATAATTTGTCGACCCAAAACGGAATTTGCTCCCTTTGTCTACCTTTCAGGTCATGGGTTGCCGCTGGGGCGTGTCTTTGTTTAAACCCGACTCCAACGTTGTTTCTTGGTGGGGCTTTGAACATGTAAACCAGTTGTATATAGGAGGTTTAGTTGGCTCACCACTTTATTGGGCAAGCCCACATCCAATGCAAAGTCGTTTATAACCTCCGACCAATCTGTTTGGCTTAAAACATACATATATATACCCCAAAGCATGCAAACCAGCCAGGTAGTGAACCCGAATAAAACTCCCATAAGACACAAGGCCCCCATGGGATACTACCTGACCCATCAACCTCACAGTAAACCCCTAACGCGGTTCTCGGGGCTAGGTGGTGGTCACTGAGAAGATCAGCGACACGGAGCTCAAGGCACTGGCGCTGGGGATGCCACGAACGAGGGGCGGGTTTGGATAAACAGGTCCACCTTCCATTTTACGTACCCCACGTTGAAATAAATTTGTGATTACACATGGATGTGTAAGGTACATACATCCCTATGCAAGGCACGTAAGTGTCGTATGTCCATTTGGGGTATGCAAGGTATGTATAAGTTAGCCCAAAGAAGGTCCGGTAACCACAGCATGACCATTGGTTGAAACCATGAAAAGGGTTCGATATGTACCCAAAAGTTACCCATATGGTCATTTGGGGAACCCGTATGCGTTTGGCGATGCAGATTGTTTTTTTGTTTGCTTGAACGCGGTAAAATCGCATTTTAGAGGATGTATACAGTAGATTTAGATCGCCCGATGGATGTTGGTGGTTTGCAACAAACCATCAAGCATCTCCTTCAACTCTTCATACGTCATGTCTTCACTCATTAACATTTGGCTGCGGGGCATCAAACACTTTGATCCGGATAAAACTATTGCTAGAGAGCAAACGGGTCAGAAGCTATGACTGAGTTTCCTTTGTTTGCACAGATTATGCACATGACAGACGGCTACACGCGTGGCTAAAATACAGTCAACAAAAACCAGTGTTTTGACGGACACTTAGCGCTCAAGCTCATAGCGGTGACCTCTCGTTTGCTACTGTTTGAAGGGGGTTGCCCTTACAAAGCAGAATCAGCTCCAAACGAAGCCTGGTGGCTCTGGGCCATCCCCTTACCCTTTAGGTTTATAGGTCT